TCTAAGGCTTTTATTGAGCTTTTACATGTAGTGCAGCAACCAGGTACACGGCAAGCAGGGGTGCCAGGGGGCCAGGAGGCTGGCAGGCCCCCAATCCCCCGGCAAGTCTTCACTCTGGGCTTCTCTGGCCTTCTTTCTCCCCTTCTCTCTCCTGCCTCTTCTCCTGCCTCTGCTTCTCTCAGTGACTATCTCAATATTGAGCCATGGCCCACAGAAGTAAACAATACAGCTTACAACAATGTAACAACTGCAGGTGCCCCATCAGGCAGGGCAATCCCAACAGTGGGAGGGCAAAAAAGCCTGAAAACCACTTACCTTACAGCTGCCATTCACAGTGAATGCTTGATGCCAAAGCCTCGCCTTCTCTCTGGGGTGTGAAAACCCCATAACATGTGGCAGCTACCCACTGGAGGGTGGAGAACAAAGAAGGCCCCTGGCCTGGGTCCCAGACCTCCTGTAGGAAACTCACTCCTGCTGCAGTCTTGGGTCAGGTAGTCACCCTTTCTGAGCCCCACCTGCTCCTTACACGTGGAGGTTAGTTACCTACTGGCCACTAAGCCAGGTGAGGCAGGGTGTGTTAGGCGCATGGCACCCCAGAAGCACTCTAAGTTGGAGCTGATGCTTTCACATGCAAGCTCCAATTTAGTTACAGGCCCTCGAGGTGCCGTGGTTTCCTCAGAGATGATCAGAGAGACTGGCTCTCCCACTCCGGTTTCTACTTAGTCCATGAACCTTTCATATCCCATTCTCAGCCCCGCCTTTTTTCTTCTTGACATTTTCATCAATAATATCTTAAAGAGAAAAGGAGAGTAAGCTGTGCAGGGTAGGGTGACCAGGACCCCAGAGTGGCAGACTGCCTCTCTAGTGTCCCGGTGATCTAGCAGGTGTGGACAAAGGCTTTCACCACCAGAGGGCATTTATTAGGTAGCACAGCGCCCCCTGGTGGACACAGGTTTGTTAATGAATCCCCCGCAGTCAAAGACAAAAATTCACAGCCTGAAAATGCTTATAACTTTTGATTCCATGTAATTCCACGCCTAGGAACTTATCCTACTTAAAAAAAAAAAATACATGGTCACAAACCAAATGTTGAACAATAAACGCATATAAATTATGACACAGCAACTTAAGGAATATAAAGGAGCCATATAAGTGTTAAGTGGGAAGACATGGAAATTCCTAGAGAGTATTAAGAATTTACACCACTACAATGGCTGTGAAGGGATATTGCAATTAATTGAAAATACTTTTTTTTGGTTATCGAGATTTATTGGGTAAATTTTAAATTAAGCCGTTTCCTTGACAGTTACTTTGTATTTTCAATTACTATTTTCCAAAGAAACAATCTTCTCTAACTGTGGGATCCATAGTATGTAATAGTAACGCTGGTTTTCCTAAGGCTGTCACAACAAAGTGTTACAGACTGTGGGGGCTTAATACAAATTTATTTTCTTACTATCTTAGAGGCTAGAAGTCTGAGATTAGGTGTTAGCAGGTTTCTTCTGAGACCTGCCTGTATGTCAAACTTCACCTCACTCCACTCGTCTCATTCATGGACACTCAAGCCCTGTGGCAGTCTGTCTGTTCCTTAAATATGCCTCCCCTCTTGATATGTCTTTTCTCCCCACATCTTCACATTATTGTTGTCTTTCCTTTATATTAATAGTTATTTTTGTCCTAATCACCTCTTCTTATAAATCACCTCTTCTTATAATGGACTTAGGATTCACCCTGATGACCTCTTTTTAGTTTAATTTCCTCTGCAAAAAGCTAGTCTAAAAAAAAAAAAAAAAAGCTAGTCTGCAACTACAGGTACTGGAGTTAGTACTTCAACATATGAATCAAAAGGAGGGGAAAAGGATCCCACATGGTGCGCAGACCTCTCCTGCCACCCGCTGCTCCCCTCAGCAGTGTACTTCGGTCCTTCTGCCTGCTCTGCTCCCCGCTCTGGCTCTGGTGAATTCTCTCACCCTCCCGCGCTTCTGACTGTACCCAGTGCATGTATAAACAAAACAAACAAACAAATATAATAAATAAATAAATAAACATGCCTCTATTAAAAAAAAAAAAAAAAAAAAAAAAAGGAGGGGAAAGGTATAATTCACTCCGTAACAGTGACTTCAAGTGTCTAGGTCCTAGAAGTCAAGCAAAGGTCAGTGAATTGTCCCAGACTGTAAGGACTCAGGAGACTGGACTGCCAAATGCAAGTCAGGATTCAGAACTGGGTCCTTTTTCTAGAAAAGGACATTTGGTGACACTTCACTGGGTCTGAGCATTGGGAGGCACTATTGTATCCAGGCTTATTTTCTGATTTGATGATTCTATTATGGTTACATGGACAATGTCCTTATTTGTAAGGTGTACAGTAAGTCCTCATTTATCACCATCAATAGGTTCTTGGAAACTGATTTTAAGCAAAACAATATATAATGAACCCCGATTTAACCATAGATGATAGATAAAAACAAAAGTTAAGTTCGTATGGACATTATTTCTGGTCACGAAAACATCATCAAACTTGTAAATAAAGACACAAAACACCTCTAACATTAAATAATCATTTGTATTCACCCATTTGTCATTCATTCACTCATTTTCCAACTCTCTTATTCTAGTTCAGGAGCCTGCTCAGCAGCTCAGGGCACAAGGTAGGCACCAACCCTGACAGGTTGCCCTTCCATCACCAGATGTATATACACACAGATACTCACACACTCACACAGGGACAGACACAGACACTCCCCCACACACACACAGACACTCACACACTCTTCTCACACACCCACACAAATACGTACACTCACACATACTCACTCACACACTCCTATAGGGACAATTGAGACATACCATGAACCTCATGTGCAACTCTTTGGGGTGTGGAAAGAAACCCCCGCAGATGAGGGGAGAACAAGTAAACGCCACGGACAGTGGCCCGGGAATGAAATAGGTTTTTTTTTCCCACATCAGTGTTATAATGAAATGACTCTGAAATGACGCGCTAAGAGGATCTGCTGCATACACTGAGAGCTCAAGGCAGCACATCAGCATTTTATTCTCAGATGATTCTGGAGGAGAAATGTCACTAATATTTGTATATTATGCTTTCAGCTTCTTTCTGTAATGTTTTAAAAATACAAAAGCTAGTTTTAAAAACCTCTACTGTAATTGTAGCAATTGTGTAGAACAAAGATCAACGAAAGACTTTTCTGGGGAATGCTTCCTCATTGACATTCTTTAGGGTTGCTGATCCCAGGTGGCAATGAAAAGCAGAGGGCTTTGCAAGCCGGTTTAGTTATTGCTTTTGAATTCTCTACAGTTAGGGTGCTTCCTCTTATTGCAGTGCCCACTACCCCACCCTCCATGTAGTGATTGCATCAGCAGGTCTTGCTAACCACATGGCTAAAATTGTGCCTCAGAATCACCCTCCATGAAAGGGTGGGACATGGGCCCCTGGCTAATTGAAGCCCTGGACCACGAAGAACCTAGGGGACAGTGTTAGATTTCTGGGCTGGCCAGATTCGTACCCACTGTCCACACAGGGGCATGATACCCATCCAATATCCATCCAATCCCTCTTACTAATTATCAAATTCTTTTAGAGCCAAAAGTGGCCAAGAAGCCCTTGAATTAGTTGCCCTCTTAGGGTGAAACTTCTAATTAAGGTGTTTCAAATATTCTGTGATGCTCTTGGATATAGATTCCTGATCATAACCAATCCCCCCTCTCGTGTAAAAGACCACTGAGGTGATATGTACTTGCTCACTCAGTTTTAAAGTCAGTGATGATATCTCAGCTCATAGCACAGAGCAGAGAACCTGGTGACACTATCTTTGTGGAATGTGAACAGTGTGTGTGCACCTCGACATCTGTGCCTATATGTGTAGATAATCTATTTGATCTAAACGTAGTAGATGTTCCAGAGTTTCTAGCCTGCACACCTGGAGAGGCACAAACACTGCTGTGCAGCAGCTGCAGGAGTAGCAACGACTTCGTTGCCACCTCCCCTGCGGGCAGCCCAGCACGCAAACCAGCACTGTGACGGTGGCAACCTATGCAAAGGGATGTGAACTCTCCTTTGCCGGGAGAAGAAAGGTGCTAGCAAAGCCTCAGTCACCTAAAGGAAACCCCTGTGCTTCCTCTGAGATTGTGCTGGTTGGTGTTTCAGCTTGGAGAGGACAACCTTCAGCATGGGCTTCTTTCCTGTCCCCTGTCCAACTTCCAAGAGTGGGCAAGCTTAGTAGGTGTCAGGAACACTGTGCACTTTGTGGAAAACTTTTCTCCTGTGGCCTCCCTGGTGGCGCAAGTGGTTAAGACAGTACTATGAAGCTATCCGTGGCCACTGCAGCACGAGTTCGATCCCCAGCCAGGGAGCTGGCCCACATGGCGCAGCAGACCTCTCCTGTCTCTACCTGCTGCTCCCCTCAGCAGTGTATGTCAGTCAATCTGCCTGTTCTGTTCCCCTCTCTGTGTCAGGTGGATCCTCTCACCACCACCCCACACCTCTGGCCAGTACCCCAGTACTTGTATGCATAAATAAATAAATCTTTAAAAAAAAAACTTTTTTCCTCTGTTCCTGCCCCAAGGGCTCCAATTCACCAAGATGTGGCTAGGAATGGGTACATTTAACAAAGGTCAGGTATTTTTGATATCTGTGGCCCATGAGTCCACAGAGAAACTGCTCTAGTGGCAGAAAACCTGGGCTTATGACCAGAGAGCCACATGTGCATCCGCAACTCTTTCTCCACACACCAGATGACCTTGGGCAAGTCGCTGGAGCTCCCTGGGGCTTGGGTTTCACCTAGACATCTATTGTGAGGATCAAATGTGGTGGAAGGGAAAGCACCTTACAGCCTGCAGAGCTCTCCAAACGTAAGAGAGGCGGTCTGGCCCTGGGTACCACCGTGGCCTCGATGCTCTGCCTGTGGGCATTACAGATGCTCTGCTCCAGTCCTGCCTGTGACTCCTGACCAGCTTGTAAAATGCTATTCTCTCCCCTCCAGCCTTCAATACAGCAAAGTGTGAGAAACTACAAAAGGAGAAGGAGGACCTGGAGAGGCGGTTTGAGGATGAGGTGAGGAGGCTGGGCTGGCAGCAGCAGGCCGAGCTTCAGGACCTGGAGGAGCGACTGCATCTGCAATTCCAGGCAGAGATGGCCCACCTTCAGGAGGAGCACCAGGCCCAGCTGCTGCGGATCAGGTGTCAGCACCAGGAGCAGGTCAGTGGGCTGTGCACTCTGCACTCACCGTGCTGACTGTGCAGGTGCATGTGGTGGGGGTAGTGGGGGTGCAGGTGCAAATGGAGGAGTCAGCACCACTTTAGCAAGAAGTCCGGGTGTTGGTAAGCTTTTTGTAAATTAACTCTTCACCTCCTGTCTTCTTTCCTCCTCCCTTCCTTGCCTCCTAAGCACCTCCCCCTAGGGGCTTTTGCATCTGCTAAACCCTCTTCTGGAATGCTCTCCCTGAGGTCCTTCTCTCCCTCCCTTCCAGACTGTTTTCAGTGAGACCTTTCCTCACCCAAAATGACAGCTCCTCCCCCAGCACACACACACTGTCCTTGCCCCTCCCTGCTGTAGATTCCCTCCCAGTTTATCACCAGCATGTTACCGATTTTCCTTCTGTGCCCTGATTATCATGTGCGCACCCCATTAGGGCACCTAGCAGAACAAGCAAACCTGAATCTAGCACTTGGTGTGCTCCAACGCTGCTTTTTACTTTTATATGTACTACTAACTCTTTAGTCTTCATGATTATCCTGCCAGGTGGGTAAGACCATGTTATCCCCATTTGACAGGTGAGAAGACCAAGACCCCAGAGGTTAAATAATCATGCCAAAATTCCCAGCAGGTCCTGGAAAAGCTGGGGTGGAAGTGAACTGACTGCAGAGTCCCTGCTCTCAGCGAATCCCAAGTGTCTGCGGGGCGCAGGGCTAGCTCCCTTGTGTGTCACCAAACCTGCGAGTGGGCCTTCAGGGTGCACTTGCCAAATGGAAAAATAAATGTCACTAGTCAACCTTCACAGTCTTACTAGAGAGGAGAATGCATCCATGGAATAACTAGAGGATAATTCCCAGGGTGCCTGCTAGAGGCCATGCCCTGCCCCCATCCTGGCTGCCCTGTACATCCTTTAGCTCTGAGAACCAGGTGGATTATGGATAAGGAGTCTGTGCTGCTTCCATGAGAACTGGCTCTGCATCTCTTTTCCTCTTCTTTCTAAGTTCCTGAGGCTCTAATGCCTTATATACACCTCCTCCTTGATGTACTATCTCGTGTCATTGCATATGCTATTCCTAAGGTAAGTCGGCACTGGTGAAGAGTGCCCTTTAAATCTCAGGTAGTGCTGAGCGGTCCTTCATTAGCATGAATGTGGCCCCCCTCTTCCGACTGCTTCCAGATACTTATGCTTGTCTGTGACCCCCAGAGGCTTGTGAATTGCAGAAGACACCGGAGAAACCAGAATAATAAGTACTGTCGTGTAATTATAGATCTCTTAGTGATAATACTTCATTCAGCCCCTCAGGCTCAACATCCCCCTTTGCTAGAGGCCTCTGGTAACCATACACACCGCCTGCTTGAGGTGGTTTAAACTTAGAGACTGGGAAACAGAATAGGTTACAGCTAAGGTTACCTGTATGTGCTAAAATTAGAAACTGAACCCAGCATCTTGTGTCCTAAGCCTGCTGGACATGGTTCCTGAGTGGACTTTCCAACTGTCTAGACTCTCATCCGCGAGACATATACCTGTGGCCCAATGAGGCACCTCAACACGAGTGTGAACAGCATCTTGTTCTGGGCCTCTATTTCAGGGCTCTCCATTCTTCCATTTTACAAAGATGTCTACACCCCCATTCTGAAAGACTTGGGATCCAGAGCTCTGAGTGTGTTGAGAAGATGCCAAGTGTTGGGGAGCAGGGAGGAGGTGGTCACAAGGCCGGAAAATGTATTTCCATGGAGCTCTCTGAACACAGGCTCTCCTGGGCACCTTGTGAAGAAGCCACAGAACTGAGGCCACTTCTCAGTTGAGCTGCTCTCTGGGCAGGGTCGCTGGGGCCAGGGAGCCCACTCAGCTTCCAGGGTGCAGAAGCACAAGCTGGGAGATGTGTGCTCACCTCCCCCTTCAGCTGGGACTCAACAGCCTTGTAGAGATTTCATACTGGGAGGAATTCAAGCAAAGAAGCCCCTGCATTTTCACTTGCAAAGAGCTACATAAGCTGCATATGTACATCTGAAGAGTGCTCCATCTTAGGGAGACTCTGAAACCGGTTCTTCTTGACTCCGTCCTGCCTAACGCCATTCAGGGATGTCTTTATTCTGTCATGCAAAGAGTATTGAGTGTGTGCACACGACATGTGAGGCATCCTGGTGGCACTTCCAGAGACAGGCCATTTATAAAATTCGGCTGACCCATGGCCTCAGGGCATGGACATTCAGAGATGAGAGCCCTAGAAGCTGTAACGCTGGGTGGGAAATACAGATGATGTGTTTAAGAATTGAGAGTTTACTCCAGCTAGGAGCATCAGGAAAAGCTTTATAGCAGAAAGACCATCTGACCACTTTGCAGGTGAGTAAGTCTGTCCGATAGAAATATTGTTTCAATGGGGATGGATGATTTAAATCTATGAATTACTCAGGCCCTTGATCCTTCTCCTGCTGCTGAATGTTAGCTGTTGTTCTGACCTCCAGCTTCTCCAGCAGAGAACATACAGGCAGTGAGCGAGGAAGAAGAAGAGATACACACATCAGAAAAGTATGTCTCTTTAATGCAGAAGACTCACGTGCCTGACTGCAGTGTGGAATTGGATCGATGATCTGTGCCAAACTCTCCTCACTTGGGGCTTCTGTATAATGGATCATCGTTTTTAGCAGCCTTAACTCCATCTCTGTCCTTGTGGAACTTAAAATTCAGGTTCTTTTGACCTCTCCTCAAACCTCAGCGACCGCTTCCAGCAGCAGGGAGGCTGCTTCAGTTCTGAAGCAAGGGATTTTCTGAGGCTTTCCTCAAGTTGGGAAATCACTTGCCAAGGCTGACTGACCTCTGATTTACGACGGGATCTCCCTGTGACGAATCCACCCACCATCCACTGCCCTCAAGGAACAGAGGCCATCCCTCTCTGGCCACTCTTGGGAATCACTTGGGGAACTTTTGACAAAGCTTCCATCCATATCCTCACCCTGCGTCAATGAAATCAGAGTCCCTGAGTAGTAAAGCTTTCCAGTGCCCAGGACGGGGAGTGTACTGGGAGGTGCGGGGCCTGCTTGTTCCCCTGAAGGCTTGAGCAGGGAGCATGGCCTCACTGTATGGCTTCCTTAAGTGACCTTAAATGTATGATTATATTTATACTTTTTAAGTTTTAAAAGTATGATTATAAGGTTTAATCAAAATCAGCACTTGTTCTATAGCTAGCTACACACTCATTAATGGACACCACATTGTCAGAGCTGTCCCTTCTCAAGGTACACGCAACAGATTTTCACTATAAACCCAAGTTTTTTCTTTTTTGCCTCAAACATTGTTCCCTCTTAGCTGCATCTCAATCCCTTTTTCTGGGCTGCTGTTGGTTGTCTCCAGAGATACTGAGTCACAGGTCTGGAATCCAGTGATCATAGTTATGACCTTTGATCACATTCCTCCAAGACCCTTTGGCACAGTTGGTCTTACTTCTTGGCCTGACCCTACAGTCACTCACTCAGGGGCCCCTGGTTGCTAGATGAATTGTGAGTTCTGCTTTATAAAGTCTGAACTGAAATTCCTTCTTTTTGAAGAGCAGGAGGACTTATCCTTTGGAGTTTATATTGATTTTGTCTCATATTCAGGACATACTTTCTACTCTTTCCTAAAGAAATTATCCCTTTAGAAACTGGCAGGCACAGTCTCCCCTCACTTGATCAGAATACACAGAGTCCACTTTACCCATCATCTTGCATTACGTGTCCTTAGCCTTCCTGCACAGCAGGCGCACTGCTGCCATCTGCAGAAACCACACTCTCTCTAATCAAAAAAGATGAGATCTGGAGGCACCCTCAGCATCCCAGCACCAGAGCCCTTCCCTGTCACAGCCCAGAGCCACCCTGTGCTGGGAGGAGACAGAAGATGGTACCTCTGGGAACATTAGTGCAGGAAGTGGGTCCACCAGTTGCAAAGACACACCCCAGAATGGGGTGGAATCAGGGTGGAGCTCCGCACAACTAGCAGCCCTCTCTGAATTAGTAGCCAGAATATTGTAGCAGGGACTGAAGGACAGGAAGATCTCATTATCTAGGAAGGATTATCATTACGGGAGCCCTGGAGAGAATAAACACGGGTGGGCTCCGTCTGTCTCTGCAAATATGAATGCGTGTCTGGGAGCTGGGTAAATGGGAGTTCAATCTGGTTTGGGTTTAATGAGTGAAGCCAAGATACTCTCAAGCACATGCTTCCTCATTCTAAATGGAAGTCTTCTCTAAGTGAATTGCAAAAACCTCTGATAATTGCATTTTGCAAATGGCTAATTGAAGTAAGCCTTGCAGCTCTATCCTTACCTTTCTGGGAGGGTGGCTTTCCAACCCCTTGCTCTTCTCTAAATCAGCTCAGCTGAACAGCAAACAGCTGCAGGGAGGAGCCTGCCGCAAGAGAGAGCTGCTTCTCTGGAAGGTGAGGAGTGTGATGGGCATATTGGCAGATGCCCCTGAGGCACAGCTCAGATCTACTCTTCCTGCAGGTTGGAGATTGGACCATTGACTTCAGGAGTCTCCACCTAGGGTTTTAGAAGAAAAAAGAAGGACGCTTCTCCCACCATGGCTTTACAATGTCCTGGTAATGGTTCAGCGCTTTGGCCTCTGTTGGTGATCGGCAGTGGCTGGCGATAGCTTGATAGTGCTGTCTTTAACCCCTGCACCACCAGGGAGGCCCCAACCTGCAGAAGGTTTTAAGGTCTTCTCTGACATAGACCTCATACTGGCTGCTTCGGAGGTTGAGCTGTGCTCTAGAAAGAAGCCAGGAGCCATAGGAAGAACATGGACATGTGTACCAGGACAGGAAAGAGGAGGGCTGGTAGTGGACAGCCCCTTCCTTGCAGAAAAGACATTCTTTAAATCTCATAAAGAGGTATAGGGACCTAAATTACTGAAGGATAAGGATTATTTGCCCAAATTTTGACTCAATAGCTCTCATTGGTCTCCTTCAAAACAAACTGGGAATTCCTCACATTGCAAATGACCTTTCTTATTTAGGGATCAGTAATTCCATTCATAAATGAATACCATAACAGAGAGATCATGTTCTAACATCGACCTTAATAGTTGGGTGTGGTATTTCACAGCTACTAAATCAAAGACCTTCTTGCCAACCAACCAAAGCAGCCCACTGATTTCACACAAACGTGATGTCATTTTGTCTCTCAAGACCTGTCCACCTTCGGGGACTCTCGGGACTCCCTTGGAAGACCTTCCATTCTTCTTTCTGAAACCACCCATGGCAATTTGTGTAAGAGTCCAATAAAATAGAATCATGCAAAGGACTGATGAAACATTTTCCTCATACTGAACTGGGTAACATCCTCCAGACAACGTGTGGGCACTTATTTCTACAGACAGTGTGCTATGTGCTTACTAGACATCACTCATAGTGCAGGAAGAAAAGATATTTCCTTTTTTTTAAGCAAAATGATTAATTTTTCCAAGAGACTGAAAGCATGGATAAAAAAAATCCATAAAGATTTCATATAAGCAGGAATTGAACAATTAAATACTGTGGTCATCAGTCTTTCTGCCTTGCGGAGTCATAGCTCTGAGCCACAAGTTAAATTGTTTAATCAAGAATGGCCACTAAATAAAAATGAATCATTGCACACCAGGTCTTTTCCATATTATAGTGCAGTTTTCCTTACAACGTGGAATTCATTGTTTTGCCAGTGATATTTCTGTTTTAGTGGGTGATGTCTCGTTTACATAGGAAAGAGAAACCAGGCAAATTTTGCCTATACAGTTTAGTATCCACCATGGGACTCAATCTCATTTTAAAATAACCACCCCCCCTCCCCACCAATGAATCCATTTCACAAATAGACTTTCTTTATTGTAGAGAACCCATCCTCCTTTCAGATCAAAAGTCTGCCTGTGAATCTTTCCCAGAGCAACAAGGGACTCACGAGGTGGGGATTTATGACCTGTGGATGCAGTGTGTACTAAAATGGTTCAGCTGACCATAGAGCTTCTGGACACCTTTTCTGGCTCCGTGTTTTTCAGATGCCATGTTTTGACACATTAGTAGGTGATGAAATAAATCTCCTGGTTTGCAACTAGCTTTTTGAAAAAACAAAATAGAATTAAAAAACTAAACCGGAGTATTGCAAGTCAGAAAGGATTGTTTTGTGAAACTCTGGTTTCCCTGTGCGCGTGCATGCTGTGTGACAATGTGCCACGGTATTTCTTACAATGGGTCACTGACAAGGAATTTGGAAAAACACAGCTCTGATTTACTACCAGAGGGAGAGGTCATTTTATGCAATTACTCTTGGAAATCATGCATTTGAACTTAAAGCAACAGCCATGACAACAGAACAGCAGTAACAAACACAGTCAATGTGGTCATGGGCTTGTGAGTTGTCAGGGGCAGAGTTCAGTAGAGTGAAAATAAAAATTCCTGGATTGTTTTCACGACTTGTGATTAGATTCCTGGAATATACCTTGAGCCTGGGAAACGGCAGACCTTCATGGGAGAAGTTCCACATCTCCTCGTGGTGGGTCCAAACTGTAGCCTGGCGGCTTCTGGTTAGGAAGTGGGTGCAGAGGCACACGCAGATCTGCCAGCCTGCCTTGGTGTTGGTGAGGGCCCCTAAAGTACCAGCTGCTGGTCTTGCTAGGGGTGTAACAATGATATGTTTGAGAAAGCTTCTCCTTAAGTCACAGACTAAGTCAAGATGTCTCTGCCATTTACTAGCCCTTGGCTCAAACATTTCAAAACTCTCCAAACCTTTGTTTCTCATTTGAACAATGGACATAAGAACTACTTCTACTTTGTGACTTTGCTATAAAAGTCAAGTGGAGAAACTGATAGCATTTAGCATAACAAATGTGAGTTCCTTCCATTCACCTAGTGTTGCTGGGCCACGGAACAACCATCTAGCAGGAAGGCCAGCGTTACCCCTAGAGTGAGGTGTGCAAGGGGAAGGAATGGGAGCAAGAAGGGAATGGCTCAGAAGCCAGGTCAGAGCTGTAAACAGGCCCCTCCCCTCAGTGGGAGCTGCCGTCCTCCTTCAAACATCCAGGCCTGGGCTGTGATGTCCTTGTGACTTGCCCTGACTCTGGATGCTGCCACTTCACACCCCCCCCAACCCATCCTGCTCTCCCCCTGAGGGCTGAGGGCAGCTGCCAACTTTGCCAATTTGTCCTCCACTTTGAGCCTGTGACCTTAGCGCTGGAGGAGTCCACCTCTGCCCCCCAGCAGGAAGAGACTGTTGCCGGCCACCCCAGCTCTCTCACCACATGACCATGTGTGACTGTCCCTCAGGTGGAAGATATCACCAACAGCCACGAGGCTGCTCTCCTGGAGATGGAAAATAACCACACGGTTGCCATCGCCATCCTGCAGGATGACCACGACCACAAAGTGCAAGGTAGATCCCAGCCCCATGTGCACGGCGGCGGCAGGGTGGCTATGCTGTGCCAGCCCAAGCTTTCCCCTTCCTCTCTCCTCCTGCCCTTTCCTCTTTCCTTTCTTCCTCGTGTGACCTTTGTGCTGGCTCCAGGATGCAGGTAACTGCTTCTTTCCTCTGAAGCTGTTGCTCTCCCTCTTGCCTGGATTTTGAATTCCTGGGGACCTGTAACAGGTGACAGATGCCAACCTGGGTTCTACCCCTGGGTTTCACGGAGCTGGTATGGGTGCAGCCTGGGCTTCAGGAGTTTCTCAAGTCCTGGGTGATTCTACTAGGTGGCCAGTTTGACAGCCACCATTCCAGAATCAGCGTGGAAATCCTGGGTTTTATGTGTTATGTGGCCTTACAAAATTAAATGGCAACGCCCATCTGCCTACACTGCTCCCACATTTGCGGTGTTCGTGGAGCCAGAGCGGCATCTGCATGGATCTGGGTCTCCCCCTCTGATCTATCTACCACCTTCACTGTAGGCCTAAGGGGAGTCTCTGAATCTTTCTTTTGACATTTTTGTAACTTCGAATTATCTTTGGGTACTTAAGATTTTATGTGGGTTTTAACAACAACAGCAACATTTGCTAAGTACCGCTAAGATTTCCTTTGTATAGGCAGCTTTTTACACTTTGAACATGTATTTATCTTAATATAAACAATTTGTTTTTTAATTTCCCTCCCTTCACTTTTTTTCCCAGTTAGCTGATGATTAAAGTATATTAAAACAATGGAATTTACCCACTGTTATATGTTCTTTAAAAACAATGAAATTTAACAATAGGTTAATGAACTTTTTAAATTTGAGAATTTACATAAATTTTTTAATTATTTTTTTGAATGTTCTATGTAACTACAAACCCACTGAACAGTAATCAATATTCACATATTTGCCTCCTTTAGGCACCAGCTCCACCAATTCTGGGAACTATTAGTACATGAAAAAGCCCAAACTGGAGGCAAGAGAGATGAATTTCCTAAGAACTAGTTAAACATCTCGCCTGCATCCTGACAGCATGCCTCACACTGTACCCATGCCAGTATGTTGAAACTGTTAGTGGAGGGCCTCCCTGCTGGCGCAAGGGGCTAAAGCACTGCACTATGAAGCATTCCAAAGCCTCTGCAGCACAAGTTCAATCCCTGGCCGGTCAGGGAGCAACCCACATGGCACGGCAGACCTCTCCTGTCTTGCCTGCTGCTCCCCTCAGCCGTGAATTTTGGTCATTCTGCCTGTTCTGTTCCCCACTCTGTCTCTGGTGAATCCTCTCACCCCCGCATTTCTGGCCTATACCCCAGATCTTGTATGCATAAATAAATAAATATTTAAAAGAAAAAAATAAAGAAACTATTAGCAGAAATGGGCCTGGGTTCTGATGCTGTATGTCACCACGGAAAGTCAATAAGCAGAGACAGAAATTGAATCTATAAGTGTTTTTATTTATCAGATCGCTGGTCATTGATCTGTGCAAATGGCGGGCATACCATCCTGATATCTCATCTCAAGCTGTCCTTTTTTTTAAAAGATTTATTTATTTATGCATACAAGAACTGGGGTGTAAGCCAGAGGTGGAGGGTGGGTGAGAGAATTCACCAGAGAGAGTGAGAGCAGAACAGGCAGACCTACTGAAACACACTGCTGAGAGGAGCAGCAGGCGAGGCAGGAGAGGTCTGCTGAGCCATATGGGTAGCTCCCTGGCCAGCTGAGGATCAAATTCATGCTGCAGTAGCCAGCGATAGCTTCATAGTGCTGTTTTTAACTCCTGTGCCACCAGGGAGGCCCCAGGATGGCCTTTTTATACTAGGATAGACAAAAACAATCATAAGCAAACAGCCCATCAGAACAGCCTGTCACAATTGATGTTTCTGGTATTCATCATGTTCAGCCCCCAGTTTTCTTGACCCTGGTACATCCTGGCCTGCTGATCCTGGTTAATTTCTTCATCAGAGCAGGAATCCCAGTTTAAAGCAAAAGAAAACAGGTCATCAGTCATATAGTGTATATGTGCAGCCTGAGCTAGGTGTGTACATGCAGATTCCTACACTAGGAAATGGTGCCATCTCTTCCTCCCTAGCCCTTTATCAGAGCCACCTGGAGAGGTATTTTTAATTCTGATGTGTAGAGTTCATCATGGAGATAGCAATTTAATTCCTCTGGGGTACAACCCAGGCATCAAGATTTTTTTTTTTTTTTTTTTTTAGTATTTTAAAAGGACAGGTTTATTAGGATAAAAGGGGGAAAAGAAAAAATAGAGGCACCTGAATAGACACAGGTGGGTAAGAGTTGCTGCCATTGAAAGGTACAGGTTTGTTAAAACAGACTCCTGCATGATGCAGGCAGACAGTCTTGGGACAAGAACTGCTGGCTTTGGGATTTTTAAAGTTCCCCAGGTTATTCTAATATGCAGCAAAACTTGAGGTCTGTAGTCTTAGAACAAAGTATTAAGCACAGGACAGACTATGGCCTTAAAATAATGAAATGTGTTATGGGTACAGAGATAAGAGTCTTGGTTTAAACTATCTCTAGGATAGACGTTGAATCTTCATTTAGGGTGTTGGAGTCATCTGAAAATGCCCTAAAACCCATCACTGCACCATAGGAAAATGGCCCCTGGAAAGGGAATATAAATATAAGCCACGGTGTTGCCTTTTGTGTCTGGATCTTGCTATGAATAGACCTGGCAGATTTTTCTGACTAATGAAATCATATTTAGATACAATATCCAAGGCCTTTGAATTATACATAATAGCAGAAGAATGTAGGCATATATAATGGTAGCTTTAAAAAAAATCATTATTATGGTCAGGATGATGCTCGCAATGACTATTAAAGCTAATCATTTAGACAGAGGAGACAGACCAGAAAGCCACATGGTTTATGTCAATGAAATCAGCACAAACTTTTTTCCTAAATGTAAATTTCAGCTATAGCAATTGTATTTCTTAGAGACCTTTACCATCATTAGTTAAGAGATTTGGGTCAATGGAAACCACAAAGTTTTCCTAATTGCAGCTCATGCCAGCCAGAATGATAATTGTTGGTCTCCGGTTCTTTCCTGTTCTAAGCATATGATCCAGGCTGATTAATGAGACCTTTCCTCCCTCCAGTTACAACACAAAAACAAATTGCTTGTGTAGCCAGAATGTGATGGGCTTTACCCAGCTAATAAGACTGTTCCCATCTGGAGGAAAATAGAATCCATTTGCTTAATAACTCTTACATGACATCTCTTTCTGCCTAACTTGCAAATTATCATTGTATGACACTTTTCACGAATTAGAATTGTTTCAAACTCTCCAAGAGGAACCAGTTCAATTAGTCCTTCCTTCTGTCTAGTATCTTTGCTTTGACTCTTTGCTCAAGCAAATCCTAGAGCTCTGGTTTTCCAAGTGTGGCCCAGCAGCCGCCACAGTGTCTTTGCAGACTCAGCTCTGCCCCTTTCACCTGGCATCCATTCCCCTCAAGCCCACGCTGGCAAGATGACTCCAAGCTCCTTGGGCTCTTCCCTTCTTCAGCCCTGATCTGGGCTGCTTCATGGGAAGAGTGATCCTGGCAGAAGAAAATGGAGATTTAACATTGACTACCCAGTTGTTTCACCATCAAGAAAAGTTAGAGCACCAGTGAGTGCCTAATCAGTGGCCTGATTTGGCCAGGATGTTGGTACAACAGGGTATAGGCATGTGAACGTGTGTGTGTGTGTGTGTGTGTGCAAGTGCACATGTGCAAACACATGTGCTCTGTTTGCTTCCCTCCCTTATTTCTGTCCTCTTGACCACTTTCTTTCTCCCTTTCCTATTCTTTCTTTCTCTCCAAATAATGTTAACTAAGTAATATTACATACAATTTCAAACTAATGGAGGAGTCTCTTAAGTATACCAGTGTCCCTAAGTCCCTAGTCTTAACCTGACAAAAGAGTCATGTCTGATCCTTTTTACAAGAAAGACCAACTTAACAATTTGATGTTTTCTTTCCAGAATTGATGTCTACCCATGAACTTGAAAAGAAAGAATTGGAAGAAAATTTTGAAAAGCTGCGACTGTCGTTACAGGTTAGTATTGCCAGCTCCAGTATCATAATGGTAGCATCATTTTTCCTGTTCACAAACATTTATCAAGTACCTGCACATGCTGGGTGCTGTACTAAGTAAGCATCGGAGTATCGAGGTAAATGAGGCATGCTCCCTTTTTTAAGAAATCGACTGTCTGCTCAGAGAGCTATCGTGCAAATAATGACAGAGAAGCACACAAGGTAACACATACTTGCTCCAAATGATTACCGCCATCAGTGAGTCCTGCAGGACTCAGGGCAACAGCACTGCACTCGCTAGGTTAGAGGAGTAAAAAGCTGTTGGAAGAAAGAGAGGATTTGGGAGGAGAGTTTTCTAGGCAGAGGGGATGGTATAAAGAAGGTTGTAAAGGACAGATGGCACAGGATATATGCTCTGTGCTTTATAAAAGGGACTTTCATTCCCTGGAGGTGGGTAAGATGAAAATAACTTCTCTGCCTCTCACTGTTGACGTCCAGAAAATGTGGGTCTTCATGCCAAAGACCTGCCTGGCTTCTTTCTGACCTTAAGGGGAGTAGGAAGAGTCTCTCAAATCTCATGCACCTCCTTCCAGCTACTTCCACTGACCACCCCAGCCCTCAGAAGGGCTGCCTCGGAAGCTGCCGTGGCCCCACTTCCACTCCACATCTCATAGTGAGATTATTTTTTTAACTTTAAGGACACACATCTGGAAATTGTGGAAGGTGATTACCATAACTTTAATACAATGGCAGGGATTTTGCACTTTCAGTGACTCACTTTCTCCTGAAAATTTTCATTGCACAGCACTTGCCTTGCCAAGAAAAGAACGCGGAGTTGTGTCACTGCTATTGAGTGTACTAGTTTCAAATCTGAAAATGGGAAACTGCTGCAGGCCCACCCCCAGCCCATCTACCGAGAGCCCGGTGTGTCTGTGTCATCCTCACGGGGCCTATCTTGGGCAAAGTCACCCAAATCACTTCCTGCACCCCCACATCCCACACCAACAGGTACATCACCCTCAGGGAATACAAACCAGGCATGAGACAGAGAGTCACAACATGAATAGTTACAAAACTCCATCCAGTTCAAAACTAAAAGCCGTGAGAGTTTTGTTTACCTGCGTCTGCCACTGATAACGATAGGTGCGCACTGCAGGCATTTAGTTACAACTCTCCACGGGCAGGAGTGATGTGGGCCGGGACCACTTGGTGCAAGGAGGTGGCATTTCTCCAGTTAACCTCCCCAGTCTACTGGCACCCAGAGAAACCGGTGTGATAGTAAAAGTTAGCTTTGGGTGTAATCTTCACTGCATCTCCTATTCCTAGCTTTGAAGTTGTGGACTATTATGTAAACTCTATAAACCTTTGTTTACTCATCTGCAAAATGGGGATGACAGCAGTTCCTCCCCGGTGGTGTGAGCAGATAAAAAGAGAGAATGTGTGTATACTGGATAGCACTGGCTGGTGTAAGTGCTAATAAGTTGCAGCTATTGCTATTATAGTAGTTTCAAGCATGGCTTCCTTTATTGCTGTCAGCCTTGTCTTTACAATTATCATGCACTGGCTTGCTCCTGAGTGGCTTATGTGAGCCAGGTCACCAGCTGGGTCTTTGTGTCTCTTAGTTTGACATAATGGGGGTCCCCCAAGGTGAAAGACACCCTGTCCTGTGGGGTGGCTCAGGCACCCTTGTGTGTCTGTTGAATCCATTTTGAGTAAAGGTGAATAAGGCAGAAAAATCACAATATGACATTTTAGCTCCATCCTCAGTGGCATGTACCTGATGACTTTTCCATTGATTTGTTTGTTAATGGAGGAAGAGAAGCTTGAAAGAAATGCTTCCTCTGACAATGCTGAGAGGTTTGGTATAGAAGCCGTGTAGTGATACTGTCATTTTCATGCTATTTCTAGAAGCAAACTGCTTTAGTGCACTGGGTGTGCGCCAAGCCTGACTGGGATTGCCCTGGGCTGTTATTTACATTCCCCAGCTCATGGGCTTACAAGCTCCCACTGATAACTATACTGCACTGATGCACAGGAATTTCAGTGTAATGGCACTGTAGGGCTTTTATTTCTTAAACAGGAATTAGAAATAACTGGAAACAACAAAAATGAAAAAGGACCTGCCAAGGATAATTTGCAAAACAGGTTCTCCTGCCATGAGGAAGAAAGCAGTCAAGCCAGCCCTCCTACACTGCAGTGTTAGTATATAAGATGGCATCATTTATATCCCAGCTCCTGTTATTTGATGCAATGAGGCCAATTCTCTTGCCAGAGGTTTTCATGGGAAGTTCCTAGTCTCTAGGAACTTTTAATGTTACACAGATGGTATCATTGCATAGAGGACTGAAATACCCCACGTGAAAGAGGCACCATCGCTTCACTTCACTTGGGCATCAAAAGAAAGCCTGTTCTGGCATCGTGGCTGGGCTTCATGATCAGTCATGGCTGGAATTGTCAGGGGGATGGGTCAACGGAAGTACATCTGCCTTGAAAGCCAGGGAAAGGGCTTCTCAAACACGCCTTTCAGCCTCCACAGCAAGGCTGTGCCATAGCTGGTGTGTGCTGGGAGCCAGGCTCAGCAGGGGAGCAGATCTGAACAGGGAGGACAGAGGAGGGACATGCAACCCAGCCATGAGGCCCAGAGAGGCTTAGCAGAGCATGTGAGCTGGGAATGATAGGGAGTCTCTGATGAAGGCACTGCCAACATGAGAGCTGGAATATAAAATAAGGGATGGTGTGAGCAGGGAATATAACATTAGGGGTGGTGCAGCAAGACCCCAGATTGGGAGACAAGTAAAGTCAATGGGGAAGTACATCATGCAGCATTAGAGTATGCACTGCATCTTGAGGGTGCTGGGGTTTCACACAGGGAAATGACAATTCACTTTTGCACTTTCAAAAGCTCCCCCAACTCCAGCATGAGGGCTAGGGGATTACAGTGCATGTGTCAGATCCAGAAAGAGCCAGCGGGATGGCATCAGGTAGAGGGTGTGGGGTCAGGAGAGCCTGTGTATTCCAGGGAGGAGGTGGAGTCAGCAGGATTGATCCCTGACTTGACAATTAGTGTGATTGGAGGTGGGGGGAGGGTCTCAGGCAGAGAGAGAAGTCAAAGATGGTTTGACAGTTTCTGGAATGAACCTTACAAACAACAACAGTTCTTTAAGATAGATTCACTGTCCCTTCTAGAGTCAGGGGCTAGAGGCCCCCTGGACCAGATGTCTTTCTTTGCTGATTTGGTGAGACCAGATATTAGTTACTAAATACTTGCCCTTCATAACCTTGTAACTGGGGAGCAGTCGGAGGACAGAGACTTCTTCAGAGGTGCTCAGGGTAGGCCACTGCTGTAACACACACGCGCACACAAAAAAACACAGAGCCCTTCTGTGATGTGTTCTGGACAAGGTCCCAGGATGGGCGAACAGAGGGGAGCAAACTGCTCCCCATGACACCCTTTGTGTGGAGCCCCATGTGAGGGGAGAACCATGTAACCTCTGGCCTTGCCCTGTGAGGAGTACCCCAGGTGCAAGCTGAGGACAGAGGCAGCGAGAATTGAGGCTGGGAGGCAAGAAGCCTGGCAGGAGGTGTGTGAATGCCACGTCAGAGCACTTCACCTTGGGGGTGGTGGCTTCTTACAGGGGGTGCCTTTGCACAGCTTTCCAGGCTGCAGAGCCTGCAGTAGACCAAGCTGGATTCTCGTGTCCTTACTTACAGGACCAGGTGGACACGCTGACCTTCCAAAGCCAGTCTCTGCGGGACCGGGCCAGACGCTTCGAGGAGGCTCTGAGGAAAAACACAGAGGAGCAGCTGGAGGTAGCTGTGCTGTCCAGGTGTCCCACACCACACCCGAAGGCCACCCCCCTGCCCCAAGGCATTCCTGCTGAACCTCACTCAGAAGCCCAGTGGCTTCCTCAGGGTCTCCCCAGGTCTTCCTCAGGGCTTGTTGGAGCTGATGTGCTGCTAAAGTGACAGGTGGTCAGGACCTCCCTGGCATTTTAAGCAGGGTCCTGTCAACACCTCTCCTGAGACAGAGCACAGCGTGGGTTTCTCCATCTCCCTGTTACTCTTGCCAAATTCCACACCAGCCACGGTCTCGGAGCTCCTGTGATAAGCAGAACCTGGGGTGCTCCTCCATGGCCAGGACATCCCCCCATCCGACCCCTGGCCCGTTCTTCCCACTTGGGTGTAGACCAGCACAGGAGGCCCCACTGAAGTGTGAGCTATTAGGTCTAAGGGAACTTTTTCCAGAAAAGTTGACAAGCTTCCTTCCCTCTGATGTAGCGTTGCCAGATAAAATACATGACACTGTTAAATTTGAATTTTACATAAATGAATTTTGTAGACTATGAATGTCCCACATGATACTATACTTACTATACTTAAGTTATCTGAAATTCAAACTTAACCAAGTACCTTATTTTTTTGTTGTTTTTGTTACATCTGACAACCTTACTTTGATATTTCTTTTTCTAAAATACCTTTTCTGATTTTTAAACACTTTGCTCACTTCTTCTGCGTGGGCTGGGTTGGGGGGCCTCTGCATGGTCACAGGTGGGCCTATTAATCCCTACCTGCTTTTTGAATCAAGATGTCTGGTGGCTATTAAAAGCAATGACGGATTTACTTTCTACCCCTGGTGCCTCCTTTGTGGGGTGAGCTGGTAGTGTCCAGACAGTCCAGCATCCAGACTTTTCAGGGGATGATGGCTTCTCCTCTCCTGTTCGTCAAGGAGCTGGATTTTTACAAGTGTTCCCTGTGGGAACTCGTGGGCATCTTTAGCAGGCAAGGTGGGGAGGGTTTTCTTGCTTTATTTTTGTGCCATTGCCTATTGGGAAGCCTGCTAATGACAGCTAGATTTCACTGATTTCCGAATGTGGGTGAAGCCTGGCCCTAGCCAGGGCCCCTGGTAAGTAACCTGTTGCCCTCTGCCCTGTAGGTTGCATTGGCTCCCTATCAGCACTTAGAAGAAGACATGAAGAGTCTGAAGCAGGTGTTAGAGATGAAGAATCAGCAAATACACCAGCAGGAAAAGAAAATTATTGAGCTGGAAAAACTGGTGAGTAGATCTATTTCCTGGGGAAACACACCACAAGTGGCATTGCTTACAGCATGGAGCAGTGGCTCCTTAACCTACCCATAACTTACAGCCAAGCAGAAAATTCCATAGCTGCATCTGAAGGCCTGTTGTGGGTAGCCAGGAGCTCTGATGCAGAACTTCAGAGGGGGCCTGGTCTCGTGCAGCTCTGGAGCCCTCCTGATTGCCTGCGGATTGCCCGCCCCCTTCCCCCATCTGTTGCTCTGACTTTGCTGCTGAAGTACCATGTCCTCATTCCTCCTGGGGCATGTGTGAGCCACCTGCACCCATGGGCATTCACTGATGTGTGTGCCGGCACTAGGAAAAGCACTTACACACACTTGCTCTTTCAATCTGACAGCAATCCTATGGAGTACACACACATGCACCTGCTTTCACAGATGTGGAGGTGAGGCCTGGGCCCGAGGCCTGTCTCCCTAGCACCAGAGGGGATACCAGTCTAGTGCTCCAGTTCTCTGCCCTCCCAAACTCCTTGCCTTACCTTTTAGTCTGGCTCCCTCAGAACTAGCAAAGGATGCCTCTTCGGGTGAACAGAGTACCCCAGAGTACCCTAGGTACGCCCTAGGGGATACCATCTTGATGTGGACTGTAACCCAAAGGTCTTATATTCTAATCTTTTTTCTTACTATAGTTTTAAAAACTTTTGATACTATGAATGTAGAATGTATATTAGAGGGAATTATAAGATAAACAAAAATAAAATTCACGTGAGTTAGAATGGAGACAGTCGAGTGAGTTGTACTACAGCATCCTGGGTCACATTGGCCACCTGCACCTCACATTAGCCCAGAGCTCCTTGCCACCCAAAATAGGCCAGGGCTCGAGCCAGCGGGGCCTCCCCACTATCCTCCAGGCCGGGGCCTCACATCCAGTTGTTTCGCCACCCCTGCCCCCCACACACAAGTTTTGGATTTATTTGGCTGTATTTAGCCAGGCATTCTGCAGGCATGCATGACTTCTCATTCCAGAAACACTTCCAAGCAGAGAGCTGATTCAATCACTCCACTTCCTGGAAGCAAAGATAAGGGCTGAGTGAGGTGCCTGGTGAAGAGCCTGGACACAGGCCAGTCCTTTGATTTCTGAGCTTTATTCATGGAACAGACACACTTTTCTTTAAGGATTAGCTATACTAACAGTGAATCTGTCACGTTCTTTTCAAAAAATAATTTATTTCTAAATTTATCTTAGAATGAAATTGTATTTTTTAGGTCGCAGGCCTTCAGAGACACACTGACCAATGGCAAGAATGGCATAAAGTTGCAGGAGAATAACAACCATGTTATTTTCTGATAATGAGCCAAGCTGGTCTTGGGCTTTGTGTTCCTGACTGCTGCGGCCTCAGAAGGAAAACATGTGTCCACGTTATATTTACTTCAACCCCACACTAACTCAGAATGCCATGTAGTGCCTGCTTGCCCGCTCAGGGATGCTGACTCGGCACACTTGAAGCACCAGGGGACCGGTTAGCCCAACTCAGTCCTGGTGGTGCTCAAAGATTATCTCTGACAATGGTAAGGCCTAGGGACACTCATCTCTGACAATGGTAAGGCCTAGGGACACTCACTGTAAGAAATGTATTCTATACAAGAAACCAACATATACACACACATGGATAATATATATAAAATTCAGATATATATATAAAATATTACTTTTACTATATGCAGTACACTCAGGTATTTTATTTTATTTTATTTAAACAAGAAATGCTGCTCATGTCCCTCTAACCTGATCTTACAACCCACTAGAGATTGCAAACTGCAGTTTTCAAACTCTGATCTTTTTTTTAAGATTTATTTATTTATGCATACAAGAACTGGGGTACAGACCAGAGGTGTGGGGGTGAGAGGATTCACCAAAGACAGAGGGGGGAACAGAACAGCAAGACTGACTGAAATACACTGCTGAGGAGAGCAGTGGGTGAGTCAGGAGAGGTCTGCTGCGCCATGTGGGTTGCTGCCTGCCTGGGGATCGAACTCGTGCTGCAGTGGCTGTGGACAGCTTCATAGGTTGCATCTTAACCCCTTGCACCATCAGGGAGGCTCCCAAACACTGATCTTGATAACCCTAAAAGCCTAGGAGCCTAAATCACTGGTCTATTATCTATCTTAAGGTCTTGCTGAAAACTCTTACTACCACATCCTTTATAGGCAGAAAAGAACATTATCCTAGAAGAAAAGATCCAAGTTCTCCAGCAGCAGAATGAAGATCTTAAAGCAAGGATTGACCAGAACACCGTTGTCACAAGGTAGGTGGCCTCGGTGTCTTCTTACATTGACTCATTTTTCATTTAGCATCCACTGGCCACAAACTTGAACTGAACATCTGTTATGAGCAGGAGTGGTGCTGGATGTGAGGGAGTCAAAGATGAAAGTTTTGGCCATGGTGCTCCAGGGCTTCGCGGTCCAGCTGGCAGGCAGATGTGCAGACCAGTATGTGCAGGGGGGAAGACGGCTGCTAGCATGCCAGGGCTGGGGGCATGACTGCACTCCCTCTGTGCTCCTGTGCTATCCTTATTGTCAGCTGCCACTATTTCAGCCTCCCCGGTGGCTCATCCACACCAGCTCCCCACTGTCCGCCTTTTCTCTTCACCCTTTGGCTTTTGGTCTGTCCCCTGGACACAAGCGCCACCCCTGAGTGGGGCAGAGGGACTGTGAAGCCACTAGGTGTTGGTGGGACGGTTCTGGGAACGAGGTGTGGGCAGGCCAACTGAAAATCATGTCCTGACCTGAATAGTTGGTCACTTCTCCCTTCGTTGCCTGCACCCATTACCCGATCACTCTTAAATTAAGTGCCTTCCAGGATGATTGCTACTTGATTGTCTCTTACTTGCCCCCTGCAGACAACTGTCAGAGGAAAACGCTAATCTCCAGGAATATGTCGAGAAAGAAACCCAGGAGAAGAAGAGACTGAGCCGCACCAACGAAGAGCTACTTTGGAAACTCCAGACTGGGGACCCAACCAGTCCTATTAAACTGTCCCCCACATCCCCGGTTTACCGGGGCTCCTCCTCGGGGCCCTCCTCTCCAGCCAGAGTCAGCACGACACCCAGATGACGCCACCCCGCAACTTATGGGAGCTGCGTCTCCTGTCCACCCACTGTTTCCAACTCGAGGAATAGTGACCATAGGCGGGCCGTGGCCGCCCTGCGCGCATGCTCAGTAGCTGCAATATCTGCATCCTAGGCGGAGTCGTCTTCTGATCCCCGTGTAGACTGTCCTGGTGTTGGCACATAGGAAAGTGTTAACGGTAGTGTTGATGTGCAAACGTTTGACCATAGATAGTCAAGAGAAAGAACGAACAAAATTTTAGTTGTTTTTGAGCAATGAACTTTCACTGCAGAATTTCAGGTTAGTTACAAACAGCTCAGTTTTGAATATACATTGAATAATCATTGTGTACTGCACCAATATGTGTGTATATTTAGACAGAGGGATATACACATGCGGCGATTCTGATTTGCATTTTTTATAACACGAAGTGCTGACATATTTTGATGAAGGTCAGCATTTTTCTAACTTGTGCCTAAGAATTATTGGGAAATGAAAATGCATTTCTACCTAGCTTCCCAGGAATATTTCTACCCAAAATAGAAAAAGGAAAAAAAAAAAAAGATACAGAGAAGAAGCGCCTTTCAACCTGCCACCAAGTGGTACTCTATTTAACACAAACACCAGCGATTTGTGAACGGTAACTGCCTTTAGAACAATCAGCTTCTTAGTCAACATGATGTGAGGTCACTGTTATTCCATTCACAAATTTTAATTATTAATATTCCTGTCATGAGTGAATAAGAGAGAGCACGAGCAGTGGGAAACCCTGTGGGGTTTAGCATTTTGTAGCTGTTACTCATGACAACGAGCCATCTCTAGTCTTGTAAACACAAGTTTTGCTTTCTTCCTAAATGGCATCTTGGCATCTTGCAGCCCTGGGGAAATATGGAAGAGCATGACCTTCTAGAGTGAGGGTAACGATGACCTTGGAGTTGGCCAAGACTGTTGGTGCTCCATCCTCACGAAGGAAAGCTGATAGGGTCTGTATTTTGAGGAAGCACTGAGGAAGAAAGCATCTCTGGAATTCCATTTGGTCTGCTCTGATGTGATACTGTAAATGGTCAACCCACTGAAATATGACCCTCAGACCCCCACTTCATAAACAACCCCCTCTTCAGTTTGGTTCTATAACTCAACCCCATCACAGTACATTCAGATGACTCAGGGGTTCTAGCAGGAGCTCCCAGAAAACCAACTCTCCTGTGCTGGGAGATCAGTTCCAAGCTTTGCTAGATCATCACATGCCCTCCTAGAAACATAGGCATGTTTTCTGCTGGATGATCGAGCAGTGCCACAGCTGACAGTGGTCCCGTCTTAGACCCAGGTTGTTCTTCTCAACAGAGGGACCCAGTGAAACAGCCCGCCAGCAGTCTTGGCTACTGGACTGGCATTTGTTTCTAAAATGATAGAATTAGAATGTGAAAGGTATTCTTGTAGTGCTGTGGAAGATTAGGAGCATGACACACAGAGAAAGTAGTTTTAACAGTTGAAATGATGATGATGATGATGCCTTTGTTTCCTGTTTGTGACAAAGACCCTGTATTCTCTCCCTTGAAATTGTCTCAGTGCTGGGCTGTCTTTAAGAATGCTCAAGGCAAGCAGATCACATGGCAAGGCCCCGTAGGCCAGAGCCATGGAGCAGGGAAGACAGTCCTTGAAAGGGTGCCCAGGGCCCTACCTTTCCCATGCAAACGTGGCCATGCAGACACACCTGGTCTGTGTCCCGTGCATGAGTCAAGGTTGGGCCTCCTGGCCTCAGGTACATCTCATTTCTAGAAAACCTCCTCAGGTCTTCGCCTATCCTGGGGACATATACCATAGACACACATTGAAGAAACATTTTTTTTTTAGTGGCTCTGCATGATGCTGTGATATTAAGTTGGGCATTCCACTAGAATAGATCATGCCACACTGACTAAATACACGATTATTTATTGTTTTAGCAGGCAAGGCCTGCAAACACAAGTTGGGCAGTAGTTCAACTCTTCCAATTAGGAACTACTTCCATTAAGGGCACCTGCTAAATGCAGTTACACAGCAATACAGATTTCAGTGTTATGTTAGAATGTGGTACAGTGTGTTAGCCTATTGCAGTCAAAGTCGTAGTATTGTTAGAGCTAAGTAATCCTTCCTTAGGTGGACTAGAGCTTTACCCTAAGCAGCCCTGACCTTGGGCACTTGAGCTAATTCCCACATGGCCCTGGCTTCCTTTTCATCACGGACACCCATCATGTATTGCTCCTATCCCCAAGCAAGTGGGGCAGCAGATGGCTGTGCCCCCCCTCGCCACTGCATCCCACACACCATTAGGACTTGAAACTCTCTCAACCTGAAAGTTCCCTCTCATCTGCCTCCTTGGCGGGAGCTGTTTCCTCTTACAGACTCAACAGCTTCCCTGCGAGCCTCAGATAGACCCATCAAACCACACCCACCTCTTCTTCACATTTGGGTGCCCCGTCCTGGTCCCCAACCCACCACACCCTGGGGCAGGATTTGGTTGGGTGTCAGGTCGGGCAGGGGCTGGTGGGAGGTTACACTTGATGATTATTTGAATGGGGTCACACATTTCTCTGGCCCCTCCAGTTTCTGTGTTGCATATTTGTGTTTGAAGCATATTAAAATTCACTTGAGGGAGCCTCTGTGAGATGCACGTGATGTAACTTGCCTGTCCCTCTCAGGCTTAAGGAAATTCAGGCTGGGGGTACAAAGCAGGGAGCCCAGGGAGGTGTCTGGCAGGCTGGGTTCCTGTTCTGGGTGCGCCGGGGGTCGGCAGTCATTGAGTCTCAAACATTCCCCACCCCCAACTCTGACTCAGCAGTCTGAGGTCCCCACACCCTTCTTTCTAGTCGGGGGTCTTCAGCAGCCCAGACCAGGATTTCAGGGAGCTCAGTGGCTTTGCTCCACTCTTCAAGTTTGGTTGGGGTGGGTTGGGGTGGAAAAAGGACAAAACATTAAATGCAATCCCTTCATCATCAGTTTCAGTTCAGTTCTCGATGGGCATATGCTGCTTCCACAAAGGGAGCTTGATCTACTCTAAGTCTGTCTGTTTAAATCTGGATCATCACAAGCTCTGTCAGTTAGTGGGGATGTGCCTTCCTGGGGTGGTGGCCACAGTCACAGTTGTTCCTTACTGCACTTTCTCATGCTGACAGGGGACCTGGGACCTTGAGAAGCTGTAGGACTCTCCCTGGAACACCAGGTCAGCATTGCAGCCTGAAAGTCTTTGCTCCCCCTCCACCCCAGACTCAGGTTGGGCTGTGACGGGTTGGGCCAGCCTGACCTTGCAGGTGCCTGCACTGTTGGGGTCACCAGAGAGATGACTAGGTGGCTTTGCAAGGCATACAGGAGTGGCAGCGATTTTAGGGAGACTTCAGCACGTCAGCCCTCCTGAACAACGACTAAACCAGAGACCCTTCTCAGCTACTCCTGGTGCCCTGAGGAACACTGCAGGACCTCTCCCTCTCAGTCCTGCTTCCAGGTTACTGAGGGCTCCTGCCTATTATTAATGCTCTGCTTGTCAAAATCCTGTTAGTTTTAAGGGGTGTCTAGTACCCCACCCCATTTTTATTATAACCACCTTGCATTGTCCCGTGCCCCTATGTGAGCTCAACAGGGCAGTGCCTCCTCTTAACAAAGGAGAAAACCACTGCCTCTCGGGGTGCATTTGTTGGAGCCAGCTTCCTCCTCTCCTCTATGGAGGGGTGGGGCCTGCAGCCAGCCACGGGGACCTTCGGATCACCACTCAAGACACTTCTGTGCCAGGGACCCAGCCTGGCTGTCGCTGGTGGGAGGCTTGGTGGGTGCATTTCGGCAGGAAGGGAGCAGTGGAGGAGTGAGGGTCAGGGGGAAGCCCTGGACCTGGATGCCCCGCTACTGGAGCTGAAGGCGGTGCTCACTGCAGTTCTCCTGGTGGGGCCGTCACCCCATCCGTGGCAATCAAAAGCCATCATCCTGCTCACTTGAACCTTTGGGTCAAATGCTTAAAAAAAGCACTACCACTAACAGCCGGTAGAAAAAACTGGGTTTTGGCTGCTAAAACAGGGGCAATCCATGCACTTAAGTTTACTAAATATATATTTTTTACAGTCTGCTGCTTTTGGACCTCTTGTTTCAAACCTCTTAAAACAAACTCAGGACCTGGGTGTTCTGAACACCAAGCTCCGTGCTTTCCCCTCTCAGCAAGATGGGAAGGTGTGCTGAGCAGAGGCAGGCTAATTGGCCCAAAGCCAAGTCAACAAGTTCCTCCCCCCTCCCCCCCCCACACACCAGCACCAAGCTGGGATCACAGTCCCCCACCCCCAACGCTCCCCACCCCACCCCCGCCCCCACTATAATCTTGGCTAAGTGGGCACTTAGGGGACTTTGTTGCTTTAAGGAGTAACAATTTGAAGCATCCATGGGAAAGTTCAAGCCATACAGCTTCTGGCCTCCCCAACTCAGTCTGAGATCCGCTGGGATTAGGTGCTTGGCCATGCTGAGTAGCCAGAGGATTCCTTCATTAGTGAAGTAGCACCTGTTTCATTCCCTAAGCCTTTTCTCATGTTGCATTTATTTAATGGCTGTATTTATGGCATGGTGGATCAGCTTAATTTGGTAAAACTAAGCTATTGCCTTTGGAAGGGGCTATAGGGTCACCTGCAGTTGGTGTTTCAACCCTCCCTCGCAGTTCGGTGAAGGCCAGGGTGGAATGGGGAATTCCGAGGACACAGCCTGCCCCAGCCTGCAGCATGTTGAGTTCCTTCTGTGACTGTCAAGCTGTGAGGGAACAGCTTTTGAGTCACCAGAGTTGTTTGTAAGCAAACCGTGCAAAGGAAAACTTGCTCCAGGTTACTTTCCCTCAGGCTGCCTGGCGGGCATCTCATGGGCCACTAGGTGGCAGTGTGGGGCCGCGGGAACCTGGCTGCACCTTGCACCCGCTGATGTGGGCTCTTAGCAAATATGGGCACAAAACCAGCAAAGCCACCTGCCCTTTGTCATTTCCCCGTTCTAGACCCCACTGGGAAATCTGGGATATGTTGTGAAGGGGACCCATCTGGTAAGCCAGGTTTTGAGCTCAATAGCATTTGCAAGTTTTCAGCAGCACCTCTAACAGTGAAGTTGCCCCAGGAATGGAGTACAAAGGAGACCCTGCCTGTGCCTGTCCTGGACACACTGCACAGTCCTGGGGCAGGCTGGGATGCTTCCACACCAGGTTCTTTGGTCTAGCTTACCATGTTGTCAGCACAGCACTTGTTGATTGTCCTACAACATTCCTGAGCATGTGGGCAGGCTGCTTTTCTCCCCTAAGACTCTGGTTGTCCTCCCCAGGACTACCCATCCACTGAGAAAACACAAAGGTTAGGTCTTATCTTACTGGCAGGGCAGGGAGCTTCCAGTGCAATCACTGAAGCTTAGCTAACGAGATTAATTTCAGGACCACGCAATAAAATTTGCACCTGGTGCAAGAAAATGAGGGAGCGAGAAATCAAAAATGAGTAACCACTACGGTCCTTCCCTCACCTGCTCCTGCTCTGCTTGCACCCTGCCATCCCTGAGGAACAACCACATTGTGTGGACGTGATTAGTGGAGGGGGTTTTGCTGCACTGACAGCCAAGTCCTTCAGCGGGTGAGCACCCTTTTGCTGACTGTCCAATGGCAGGAAGACCTCTGGAGCCCAAACCCAAGCCAAGTCTGAAGTGGGAGATGGGGAGACAGCATCAGAGGACCCACAGTGAGAATTTGAGGCACTCACTCCCTGATTGAGGTAATAATGGTTGGGGTAAGGATTTCCACCACATGGCTGAAGGAAAGTGAGGCAATAGGGGATCCGACTGTGGAAAAGCAGGAAGAGACCAAAGAAGCAAAGAGCAGGATCTGGAACTCTTCATGGGGCACTGCCATGCTGGGGCCCAGCCGAGAGCTGCCAGAACTCTTGATATCACAGTGCACACAGTGAAGCCACAGACAAATTTATTAGATTTTGCGGAAGCATGAGATGATGTACCACAAAATAGTTTGATTTTACAACATAAAGTATGGTAGGAAGTTGTCAATGTACAGTGTTAGCTTCAAAAATGGAATACAGAAGTTTCACATTTTTTTAAAGGCAATGGAGACTATTGATGCTTGTCCATAAAATAAAAACAGAAGGGAGCAGCAGAAACCAACCTGATTTGAATCTAGCATCAGAATCATAGTATCACAATTTTAAGAAACTATAAGAAAACTATTAGAAAAATAGAACATCAAACAAGCAAAAGATACTATACAATTTACATAATAAAAAACTCCTCTAACAAATGGCTTCAAGTTCAGTAGAAGAAAGTTTACTGGCGACCCCACAGTTCTCCAGGTTTGACAATGAACCAACCCTCGCTAGGACCATCAGCCTTGTGTTCCTTAAACCCACAGACATTGAAAGGCACAACTTAAGCAGGAAACTTAAATATATAATACAACTTCTCATGGGAAAATAAGTCCCAAGCTTAAAAGTTTATCATCAAGAAACACAAAATTATATACTTTGTTAAGCTTAAAAGTCTGAATGCATCTTCCAAGCACGGCTTCCCGGCCCTGCTGGACATGCTCGGCCCTGAGAGAATCCCCTGGACGTCACAGCCACAGTCTCATATCCTGGGGGTTTTCAGGGCCATCGAGGCAGGTGCAGGGGGAGCTGGAGGGCTGCTGTCAACTGTGCCCCGAGGCGCTGGCTGGGTGCATATCCCTTGTGGAAGAGAACACTGCTGCTTAGTGACCAGAGGGACACCGGAGACTCGGGAGTATAGCAGACATGAAAGTTGACTTTTTTTTTTTTTTTTTTTTTTTGCCTGAAAACTCCATCCGACATCGTAATTGCCGTGATGAAATATGGAATGTAGCTTCTCACGCCACTGGATCAATAAAGCATTTCATTGCCAAAAAAGTTGACAGAACTCTGACAAAATACTTCTCTCTCCAAAAGGAGTCTTATGTACAATACCCTCATTGTGATGGCAATCATATACTTTAAATTACATATAACAAGTACACATAACACAGATTTAGCTCCACCGATGTTCACGCTGACGCTTCTGCTGTCATCACACCCCCACGCCCAGGAGTGTGGGTGAGCCGTAAACGCGCCTCTCCACCCAGCCACACCATGACGGGCCTGCCATGGAGACCCTCACGCGGTTCTCAGGTATCAACATAACAGTTGGCTGACAGACATGTACAAGTGGGATGTGCGCATCAGAAAGTATGGGTCCTGGGGCACCGCAAGCAGGTGTTTTCCTGTGGCAAGGCCCTCAGGTACCCATTAGCTCACTTGGCTGGGGGTGGGGGTGGTGGGGTTTATGAGGCATGTCCATGCTCACCTAAGGAACCAGCTTCCCACCTGTAGTCAGTTCTGTCTCCACTGTCAGGGTAGAGGCCCTCCCGTGCATGAAGGTAAAACTTGGTCAGTTCTGAATGCCTCAGTGGTGGGGGCAGAGGGACAAGACCCCATGTAACCCCCTTCCACCCGTCTGAAGCTCAGCAAACGTGTGGCAGCAGTCCACTGGGTGGGATGCTTCATCCAGGGATGAACAGGCTGTGCCCAATGTGCAGAGGGAGTGTGGCAAGGCCTCGGGGGCTCAGGAAACCCGTGTGTTGACTCCCAGGGGCGCGCTGCAGGCAGGGGGCCCCGGTGTCCAGACCACCGCATCAGCACATCAGACTGTCACAGGATACTCAATGGAACAAAACCCAAAGTGGGGGTGGGAGAGATGTCCTGTCTCTGACAGAAGTCGAAGTTTCGCGTTCTTTCTGAAATGGCCTGGGAAAGATGCTTCCATCATTCCTTTCCCTCATTTTGGGAAAACAAATTGGTCAAAGTTGGGTTGAAGGGGTATGAACAGGTGAGGCCCCTTCTAGAAGGGGACTCATTCTCACCTGCCCACTGGGCAGCAGCTTCCCTGGACCCTGGACTTTCCCTTACCTCTCGCTTTTCAGGGACGGCCCCAGGGGTTCCCGTTTGCTTTGTGGGTTTTCACCAGATCATGGAAGCACGAAGAGCAGGTGTGATCGGAGACAGGAAGGGAGGCTTACTCACCACAAGTGGGTCTTTCCACTGTGAGTACCCAGTGCGGGGGCACAGATACAAGTAGACACAATACTCTCAAAGGGAGTGTCTCTAGAAATGTGGAATTTCTGACTATGTAGGAAAATATTGGCCAAGCCATGAAACTGAGAGTCCTATTCTTATCTGGAGGGTGGGGGTAAGGTTGGAGTTACGAGGTGGGAAGCTGGCGGGCACTCTGGGTGGGTTTGAGGGCCAGGGGCGAAGGGTACGGTAAGCAGCAGCGCACTCACACTGTGGGAATTCCTGCGCACACCCTTCCTTCCATCACTGTCCTCACACTCAGAAACTCAGCCACTGTACAAAAGCTATTTTCAAAAAAGGCGCGGGGCCCACCAAACTGCCTGTCCTCTCCCACGCGGGAGGCTCTGCCTCCACCGGGGCTTCTCCAGGAGCCCGGGAAACTGCCTCCCACGCGGTACACCCAGGATTTGGGCCGAGGACAGAGACACCCCTGTCAGGATGGACTTGTTCTGTGCAACACTGTAGGGGGAAGAAGCCCACCTTTGGCTCACAGAATGAAAGATGCTGATAGCTGAAATGTCAACTGTAAACACAATCTCTTAGATGCTGTCTAACACACAAATTTCAGCCAGAAAGAGGTAGTGGGGGAAAAAAATCTCCCCTCCATCATTTCTGGACCCCCTCTTTCCTGATGTGGAAAAACAACAGAAACATCAAGTAAACAGCTCCAAGGCCCCAAGAAGACAGCAGATAACTAAAACCCAACAAAATAAGTTAATATTTATCAAAATATTTTACAGCACCAATCTATATAAATTTCAATACCTTTCTTTGGAAATCCAAGCTTTGGGCTCTGATGATCCTCCCTCTGGAACATTCACAAATATTTAGAAGTTTTTGGCAAGGTGACCAGAGTCTGGGACAAAGGCTGAGTCCTTGGCCATCCACTTTCCTTCCCTCCCTCCAGAGGATGAACCCAGCCTTTTGGCTTTTCCATTAATTCATGCATTTCTCTCCAAGAACAGTGTGGGGCAGAGGGAGGTAAGTGCTGTCAACTCATCACGCTTCCTTCCACCAGATTTGTGTCGAAAGCCACAGGGAGATGAAATGTAGCTAAGCTTTGAAAGCAGCATTTATATTTTCTGCAGTCCAAAATGTCTGTGTCTCTCACCGACCTTCAGTACAGGGGCCCTCCGGTCTCCTGAACGACACTAACTGGAAGACGTGGCCAGGCCCGCGTTTCCTCTGCCCTCCGCCCACAGGAGTGTGTGACAGCCGTGCGTGCTCCAACACGAGGGGCAGGAGTGTGCTGTGCACGGGGACACCAAGGCGGCCGTGGGGCTGATAGTGGCAGAGGGCAGGGTGAGACCCTCACCCATCTAAAATTCGCAGCATTCCGACAACATACATGAGAGAGAAAGCAGGATGACCCCAAGTTGTCTTGTGTGTGGGCCCCACATCTTGAACAAAACACCAATAGCATGGGGGTACATTATTTGGCCGCTTTTCAAGTTAACAACCTTAAGTGCCAGCTTAATTTGATGGAGTGATTCACAACCACTAACAGGAACTGATTTGATCACACATAAGACAGGGCCACAAAGATCATGTCATGGGTCAGAGTGACCATGAGGACCAGCCATTATGCCCTGAAATCTTAGAAGACCCAAGAACCTGACCCACAAGCATCAGAAGGCAAAATTTAACGAAGGAGAAAAACTGAGAGAAGAGGATTCTAAGCCCTACTATTGCGAGGCTGGTCCTTCATAAACATGCCATCATGTTCCAGTTAGGCAGGACACAGCAGTAGTGAGAGGCCAGAAGCAGCAAGACCCGGAGGGTCAGGAGGCAACTCGGCAGCAGGGGCCACAGGCACACACAGCTCAGAGCCAGCCTCCCCGGGCCATCAGGCTGGCCCCCACAGAGCACGCCCCTCTTCCTCAGTCCTGCTGCCAGCGTGTGCTGGGGCCTGTCACGGCCACGGAGCAAAGGTCCTGCCTGAAAAGGGAAGAAGAGTTGGGGGTGACAATTCTAACAACCCCTGACAACTCAGAGGGCAAGAGAGAAGAAAACTGGTTTTGTTTTCCTTTTTTAAGTAAACTGCTGTCCTTTGGCTCTGGGTAGAACTTCTGGAAATAGACTTGTTTCATGGTACTCATCTAGCGTCGGCTGTTTGGGGCTAAGTGTAGTGAGGGCTACATTAAGTGTGGAGTATGCACATTTCCAGTACTCGAACAGTCCCAGGGGAGGAAGTCAGGACTCCCAAGGTAAGAAAAGAAGGTGACCTCCTTTCTACCTGAGGCCTCAGCTGGGTAGTGAGGCATTGACCTGGCGAGGAGAGGGGCAGAGCTGCTTTCGTGGTTTAAAGGGAAGTTGGAGATACAGTGGCCTGTCACAGTCCTAGCCAGGGAGCTGTCAGAGGTGGCCGGAGCCTGTGAGACCCCGCAGAGTGAGTCTGGGCAGGACATGTGAACCGGGGGCTGAGGCTGCAGTTCATGTGGTTGCACCTTCTGCTGCATCGGGGCTCTGTGGATGTGGGTAGCTCCTGCTGCACTGGTGGAGAGAAAGGTGCTTCCATGTCCCCCTGGGGCGTTCCTCAGGGCTGCTGCCACTTCTGGGGGTTGGGGCTCTGTGTCATTTGCAGTGGTCCAAATTGCCGTCAGGAGTCCTTGCTTGGCCAGCAGCCAGGGACGCCTCCACGCTGTGCCGCAGACCATAGCCAAAGTAGATGATGAAGCCTGTGGGCCAAGAGCAAAGAACAGGCCTGAGCAGAGTGAGTGGGGCTCAGGGACTCTGGCAGAGGGTGGCCTCTCCTTGCCACCGCCCTGCCTGAGCCAGAGTAAGTGACCCTCATGGGTTGACTGCCTACATTTGGAGAAACAGCATGACTCTTCAGGTAGGGTCAGCAAAGTTTCCTCTCTCCCATCTAGGTGCGAGCCAGGTGCACGTTTTCCTTCCAGAGAGCCTCATGCTACAATTCTTGAGCAGGGGGAGCTGCTAGGCTGGGGGCATCTGTCCCACTGATTACGCCCCTTGACTGGGTGCTCTAGGACTTGAGGGTCAGGACAGACATTCCAAAAGTCTCACTGTTCCCAGGCAAGGAAAGATTCCCAGCAGCACAGGGCTCCCCAGGTTCTTCATGCTGACAGTATCATCTGACAACTTTCTCTATGTGAGGGACTGTCAGAGCACAGGAGGTATTTAAGTCATCTGAGGATATACGGAACACAGGATTGTAGTTCCTTTCAGGGACTCCAAAGGTCTATGGGGAGCCCAGGAATCTGTGCTTCCATGTAACCTCCGGAGGCAGGTGAACAGGAGATCAAGCCAAGAAGAGATCAGCACTAAAGTGCAGGAAAGAACTGAAGCCCTGAAGCCCAGGAGGTTACAGCAGGGATGTTCAAGGGCAGGTGTCTTCCTCTCCTCAAGCAGGACAGTCTCACCTGCAGACCCCAGGAACAGCCAGTGGGCCAAGCACACCCCCACCCCATGCACAGATTGAGCCAGCTCTTCACTGTCGGGAGACATCGAACCATGCACAGCCTAGACTCTGCAGAGAATGGGGCAGCAAAGTAGCCCCTGAAGATGGATGAGAGACAGGTACCTGCCACTTCCCAGGGCTGAGAGATTCGGCAGAAACACTGTCCTGAAGTTACTAATCTTATCAGTACTGAGGGGCAAAGGTTAAGGCCATCCCCTGGGTACAAAGGAAAGAAACTGACTTAAGTATATCTCCTCCAGGGCTGCCTGGGTGTCAGAACCCTGAGGAGAGCCGCCATGGTCCCATGCAGGGGCAAGGTGAGGTTGCAACACCCAGAGCCTCTCAGGCCCTTGGGTGCCTGAGCCTTAGCAGCCCACTGGAGCTGGTGGTCAGGCTAGGCTGGGGGGAGGAGACACTGTCCAGACTTCCCATTTGGGGTGAAATGAATTGGCGCCTTACCCACAGCAGAATTATAGCCTTATTCCTATTAACATCAAGTTCCTGCCAAGCAAGATAACCAATTCAGACAAGAGGCTATTAAAATGAAATATACCTAAAAGGGAGGGGAGGACCTACAACCTACTGTGGGGCCCGGATTAGCTGACAGAAAACCGCTGATGACATGAATTTTCACATGCATGGAATCTGATATGAGGGGGGCTGGATGACAGTGGCCATCCAAGCAGGGAGCAGGGCAGACGAATGAGCAGCACAAGCCCCGAAGAGAGAGGCCTCTAAGAGAGGCCACCACGTCAGACGCATAGGTCACTGCAAAGCCCATGATCCAACATACCTATCAGCATCCACACCGCAAACCGAATCCACGTGCCTTGGTCCAGCTGCATCATAAGATAGACGTTCACAAAGATGCTTAGGATGGGAAGCACTGGCAAAAAGGGCACCTGCAAAAAATGTGAGGTGGTGGTGGCATCATATCTCTCAGTGCTCTTAAAGAAGGGGCTAGCAGGGCCTCCCCTGGTGGTGCAGCGGTTGAGCGCTGGGCTGCAAAGCTGCCCGCAGCCTCCGCAGTGCTGGTTCAATCCCCGAACCCCAGCGGGGATCCCACATAGTGCACAGACCTCTCCTGCTGCGCCCGCTGCTCCCCTCAGCAGTGTATTTTGTTGGTCTGCCTGCTCTGCTCCCCACTTTGGTGAATTCTCTCACCCGCCCGTGCTTCTGACTGTACCCAGTGCTTATATAAATAAATCTTAAAAAAAAAAAAAAAAAAAAAAGAATGCTCATAATATTTAAAAAAAAAAAAAAAGAAGGGGCTAGCAGTGGAACTTCCTCTTTATCTCTAAAATACAACTAAAATCAGAAGCCTTGGTCATCTCCCAAGGCTCGGCTAGGACGCCTGGATGGGCACTGACGAGAAGCGGCATGAATGAGGTGCACTCCGCCGCCTAAGAGCCAGCAGCAGGGAGGCAACCTCCTTCCTGGGTCAGCTCCTCTTTCAGCAGGCTCCATGTGTGCCCGGGGGACCCTGCCTCACACTCCCCTGAAGCTCACCAGCAAGTTATCTCCTCCGGACACGGAGGCCCGGCCGAGCCCACACAGGGTCAACCTCTCAGAGGGAGGGTCACAGTCAGTGGTGGACTAGGAGCTTTCCTGCACTTCTCTCAGGCCCAGCTGCTCACCTTGAACGACAGCTTGGTCTTGCTCTCAGGCTGCCTCCAGATGATGGCCGTGACCACAAAGCAGAGGAGCGCAGATCCCGTGAGCATGAAGATGGCCCACAACTCCGCTTTTATCAGAGCCTCCTTTCCAAGTACAGCCACAATACAGAAGGTGACGATAAACAATGCTAAGAGAAAGAGTTTTCCTCAAATTCAGGTCTCAACATTTCTCAAGTTCCCACAGATATCCTCAGTCCTCCCCAAAACCTTAGAAGAGGAAAGCTTCAAGTCTATAGGCATCAAGACAGATGCTTATCTCCCCTGGTAGCACCCACACTTCTTCCACCCTCATGAACCAGAAACCATTCAATGTCATCAAGCAAGGCCTCAAAGACCTTACAGGAAATGACAGACTTACCTATGAGACTGGTTGAAATGTTCACAATTAGCCCAGAGAATTTAGAAGGTTCCATGTTTTTGGGTGAAAGCATGGTTTTAAAAGAAAATTGCTCTGCTTCTGGTAAAAAGCCTGTCTGGGAATCACTGGTGCTCACCAGTTCATTCTGGTCTACTTGATCTAGCTCATCCATAGTTCTGGCCATCTGGTATACCAGACTAGGCTGCTCTGGCTGATACCTGTGAAGAAACGTATAGCATGAGCAATGGAATATGTTTTAATGATGCAAAAAAGATATGCACTAACTCAAGTTCTTAGTAAGCTTTCAAATGTTACGTGGCCTAAGACACAAGGAATAAAATGGGAAGAAGGTGGTAAGAATGATATATTCTCTGACCAAGCAGAAACAGAGGAAAGACCCAGGTGCTGGCCTTTTGCTCCTGCTTCTGGGCAACATCCTCCTTGGTGTCTGTTTTGGGACAACATGACCTCCACCGTGAGCCAGCCCAGAGGAAAGTCCTGAGGCAATTTCTCTTGCTCTGTGAAACAGGACTGGCCCTTGCATACTTCAGATATTAGGCCACTTTCAGCAAAACTATGGCTGTAGGGAACTAAAAGTAAAGACAGAAATAGAAAGCAATAACATCAGGATCCGATTTGGTGTGGAGAGCCAGAGAAATGTGTCTGGAGGCTGAGGGATTTGAGAAATTCTGTCTGCGTGACTTAATTGGATCAATTTATCTTAAAACTCCAAATGCCTTGAAGTAAATAACTCTATTGAGCTGGGTGAAGAATGAGCCTGTGGGATGATTTCCAAGACAAGTCACCTGCAAGTAAAGCATTCATTTTAAATGAGGTTCCTTATCTTCCCACCCAAAATGAAAAGAGCTCAAATCTTTTCTACCTGCTCTGAAAAAGAGTGCTTTATGAATTATTTTACATATAATCACTTCTAAGAGTATAAATGCATTTAACCATTAGTTGCACTAATTCATTTGTGCAACACCAATCAGTCAATGAAGAAAGTGGGAGGGCCTCAGAAAAGATTCCAGCATTGTGGCCACAGGAAGATCGGTGGTCAGCAAACAAGTTTTAGCTGATTCTACAGCCATGACCAAGACACAACCCCAGTTTTACACAAAATATTAACTGAGCAAACTAGAAATGGAATGGTGGTTTTACAAGTATAAAAACCTGGAAATAAGGAGGGCCGCGCTGGGAGACCAACACTGAGCGTCAACATGAGCACATGTTCTCATGATGACTGCTAGTTTGGGTTATTCCTGGGAGTGAGGAACTCGGAGCCCAGGAGTGAGCTTTGGGCGATAGGTACTGGGGCACCTGAGACACCAGGACATCAAGTCACGGGCCCAGAGCCACTTTATCACAGCTGCCCAGAGGGCTAGCCCACTCTGTATAAGGCTAAAAACAGCCTTGGCCACTTCACACCACATAATGGAACTCCTTTCTTCCTCCAGAAGCAGCCCAATAAAGCATCACCATAACCTGATTCACAAGTTATCATAATGACCTAGGTTTCTCTGGGTTCTCTTAATTGCCACCAGAGCCAGTCCCCAGTCCTATCTGTCCCAAGAACCTAGACCATGCTGAAATCATTACCTTAAGCCTTCAAAAATTCGGATCCCAGGGTCCAGACCGAACAGTTGGGACAAGAAGCTATCTATCCTCCCAACTTCTGGTCAGAAAAATTAGGGCACATGAAACAGGGAGGTGAGGCCAATACTGACTCTTTTCTAGGATGCTATTAACCACCAGTGCCACCCTCTCCTTGGCAAGTTCCCGATGGAACAATTATCAACCTAAAAGGCTATAAACCATTCAACTGTTAAAAGGCTAACAGGGAACATCCATAATTCTGTTACAGCATCCAGAGATACTGTACCTACCGTAAGACCAACACACAAGCAGCCACCAAGGAGTAAGCCAGGAGAGTGCCAATGGACATGAGGTCCACCAGGTCCTTCAGGTCAAAGAGGAAGGCCATCACAGCTGAGGGGGAGACAAACATCAGGACACACTGATGTCAGACATCTACATATACTGACGTCAGAACCACCACCCACCCACGAGCCAGGCCACTTGAGGAGTGCTTGCCTCCCCATCCCAACCCTTCCCATGAAATGACACTGCATAAAGGGAAGAAAAGCTCAGGATTAAGTGAATACATAGTGTTCAACATATCGTAACAATAGCATTTATATAAAAAGAGCTTTTATCAACATGACCTTTTTTGATCCTCAAGGCAACTTTGCAAACCATTTCTACACCATAGATGGGGAAAATGAAATTCAGACAGGTTGGGAGTTTTATCTAAGGTCACACAGTTAGTGAATAAGAAAATTAGGATCAAAACTAAATTACTGGAACTGGGGAACCAGTGTGACTTCCTCTACTCCAGGCTGAGTCATGTGCATCCACCCATCATCCACTGATCCATTCATCATGGATCCATCCATCCTTTCATGCGTCATCCATTCAGCACCCACTGGGAGTGTACCAGTCAATGGGTGGCAGGTATACACCATTAAACAGGACAAATCAGATAGTCCTTGGCCTTCATGAGTATATCAGCCCAAGACACACGCAGCTGTAGGCAACAATAATGAGAAGCAGAGGGAGGTAAGTGTGGTGCTCTGGGAGGACACAGGGACTCCGAACACAGGCAGGTGAGTAGGGAAGCGGTGACTTCTGAACAAAATCCGTCCCTTCACCATAACCTCCATTCAAAAAACAAAAAATTGCAAGCAAAAATTCTTTGTAATATCTGTGAGTCTCTATGTCTATTTATGTGGATACGTTTATCAAGTTTCTTGTTTGAAAAATAATCTGGCTCTATCTACTTTGGGATATTTTCTACTCACTTGCAATCGATACAAGTTAAAAACCACAAGCACAAAACCATTACTTGTCCACAAATATTTAAAGTTCCTAAAGACTACTGCTACTGAAAACAAATTTAAATTAAGAATTAATAGGATTAGGCCTTCCAGATAGAACAGTTTCTAACTGTTCATGCCACAGATGCCTGAGCTCCCATTCACAGAGAAACTCGAGATAATTTCTCCCATGCGAGGTGATTTTAGGAAACCAAATACCAAATGTAAAGAAAGAGTAAGTCCTTGGTTTGGTGAATGCATGTACTTTTCAGTCACCTTAAAGATTATAGTCTAATCTCCTTTAATCAGCACAGGAAGGAAATTAAGGCCAGTTTTAATATGATCAAATTACATGTAAATACTAAAAACACTATTTCCAGTTCCTTAATCTCTTAAATCTATTGGTCATATTCTGACACGTGGTGTCCCTTACCCCTTCACTGCGAACACTCTCAGGAGTGTGGAATTTCACAATAAATTTGTTAAATGATGAAAAACTAGCTTTCTGTCACTATATAAATACATATACACAAATTCACCAAATGAGGCACAGTTTGCTAAAGGTGTAAATAGTATGTGTGCATCCACACACTGGGCCCCTCCTTTGCTTAACTAGGGGGCCCTGAAATAACACATAGCTCAAAAGGTTCTTTCTCCACCAATTCCACTGACCTTTTGGGTAGAATCTGTTATTTGATAAGACAAACCTCTTTTGGGTCTGCATCATTTATAAACTTAGGGTAAATGGCTTCCCCAACAGTCCCCTCAATATCCCGTGGAGAAGAGGCAGCACATTTGGTAAACACTGTTCCTCAGGCACCCTCATTTTTCACAGAATTCATGACCTGTGCTACAAGGACACTCAATTTCCACTACTACCAAAAAATCTGTCTTGACTTGTATCATGCGAGATGTCTTTTCACTAAAGTCTACTCAAGAAAAAGTAAAGATAAAAGGCTTTGAAGGGTAGAGTGAGTACTGTACTGTCTGATGAGAAGAGAATAATAAAAAAATAATTCAATCTTTCTGAGAATTCCATCATTTCGTCTGTAAAACAGGTTTCTGCCTTTTGTTGAAGGGCAGTTATCTTACAATAAATCGGGTTTCAAGTGTAAAGGCCAAGTATGAAAAGACCACATACAACTTGGCACAGTAAAAGTCAAGCTATTCCTCCAGGCAGTAACAACTCAACACTTAAAATACTGTCATTTGACATTAGTTCCAGTTCTTACCAGCAATGGCACCGGAGGTCAATGTGGCGATTATTGGTGTTTTTGTCCTCTCATTGATTTTGGCTAAAAATTTAAACAGCAGTCCATCTTCAGCCATGGCATAGATCACCCGAGGCATGGGAAACATAGAACCCAAAAGACTAGATGGGAAGAAAAAGCAAAATGCATTTGTTTCATCAGCAATAAAGGCAACCTAATGCACAATTCCTATTGAAAAGATGGAGCCTGAATCCTCACCAAGAACTGCTATTCTCCAGACTCGGGAAGCCCATGGCTAAAAGACTGGGAATCCCACAAACCAACCGTGGGAGAAGCACTCACTGCAGGATGCAGGGGAAGAGTGGGTGAGCAACACCTACCATAAACTAGCACGGGGTCCATGCCACAACTTTTATGGAAGGAAACCTTTGTCTTTATTCCTAAAATCATTTCTAGCTGAATCAAATGGAAAATAAAAGCATTCATGAGGCTTTCTCTGTGGTAAATCCATATTTAGCAAGTGTTTCCTGTTTACACAGGCTATAAGGAAATATTGAGGGAAAAATGTTTCTCATTAACAGGCACTTCTTTTTTCAAGGAAGCTTCTGCTTTATATCCAAACTAAGGACCAAAACACGGGGTTCCCAAGAGGTGGCCTGTTCCAGTGGCCAACAACAGGTACAGCAAGGCATTCCCTGGCTAAGCTGACGATGTAAAGAGTGGGCCCTGAGTTCTCTGAATAGCTACAACACAATCAGCTTTTGGGATGACGGTCAGCATTCACCCAGACCATTTTTTTCTGCTATGAAAGGACTGGCGTTACGGTTCTCTTCCAAGGGAAAAAGAATACTACTAACAGCAAGCCCCTGTGGCACTTTCCACAGCCTCGTAGACCTGATGCTTTCCCAAGACATCCAGAATGCACACCTGGTAGAAAGCGCGCAGAGAGAGCCGACAGCCACCGCATACTTAGCGCCTTCCCAGCCCACGTGCTTGAAGGCATCCGGAAGGGGGCTGTTCTTGTCCAGGCAGAAGTACGGCATCATGAGCGTGAGGGCGGCCGACACCCCAAAGTAAGCGATGAAGCAAATCAAGAGGGATGCCACGATCCCCACAGGGATTGCCTTCTGGGGGTTCTTGACTTCTTCACCTAGAAACAACGAGTCAGCAAGGGCAAGAGAGCAAGAGCATCGCACAACCAGGATGCCCAAGGCCTGTCAGAACCCACCCCTCATGGCTCAGCCATGTGGGGACCAGGTCTTTGGGTTCCCAGGCTGAGTTGTGGCCTCGGTTACAAAGACCAGAAGACCTGTAAGCCCTGGGATGGTTTCCTCAACTTTTACATCATTGTTCCGCTAAGGAGAAGGTGTGTTTCCTTTGGCAAAGAAAATTTGTGAGGCCCAATGGAGCCCAGCCCATTTTTTTTTTTTCTATGATGACAATAGTTTCATGGCCTCATTCTCCTGGATGATGCACAGATATACAATCAGCTTGCAGCCAACGCTGTCACTAGCATCCCCTCCTGCAGTACAAGTCAGTCACGTTCATGATGCAGAGCTTCCTGTCAGGCACTGCCAGTTGGGGAAGTGATAAAAGGGGGAAAAGATTAGCAGGAAGCTACAAATCTACACATTACTCATGCGTGAAACAGCAGCTACTGGCACTTGTCCACGGGAAAGAAAATAGTGACCCAAGGGTAAAATTAGCCCAGCTTGACCGAGAGCAGACTCCGAGAGCAGTGTGTGTAGGCAGGCAGGGTTACCTGTTGTGGCGATGCAGTCAAAGCCCACAAAGGCATAGAAGCAGGTCGCTGCCCCTGACAGGACACCAGAGAATCCAAAGGGCATGAATCCACCGTTACCAAATTTAGTGTTACTAGAAAAAAAAAAAAGGGGACACGATCAAAGACCACAACACCCTCCTGGTCCTGAAGAGAAGCCAGGCCCACAGTCACCCTGCGGTATGGCCACCGTTGGCTCTGGGGCTTTTGGACCCCCAGTGAGCAGTCCTGGAGACGAGCTGTCACCAGCTACCATATTCACACGCTATGAGCAACAAGCTCCCTGCTTTACATGACCTGGAGCCACAGGGCTGGCACTAGGCCCGTCCCAGAAACAGCCTCTAAGTATTGACTTGGGAGGTGGGTAGGAATTGTGATACAGGTTGTCCAAGAGGGAGAAAGGAAGAAAAACCCAACAAGTCCCTGACTCCAGAGAATCCAAAGGGCATGAACCCACTATTACCAAATTTAGTGTTACTAGAAAAAAAAAAAGCACGATCAAAGACCACAACACCCTGGTCCTGAAGAGAAGTCAGGCCCACAGTCACCATGCGGTATGACTGCCGCTGGGTCTGGGGAGGAGCCTCAGAAAGAACATGTGCTTTCAGAATAAGAAGTAGCCAGTCAGATGCAGCTGGCCCAGAACAAAATGCAAAAAATCTCCCAGAGCATTTAACCAGTAACTCAAATCTCAAAGCAAACATTTCCACAGACACCAAGGTTTAAAAAAGTACGCTGTTCTAAAACAAATAAACAGCACTCAAAGCACTCTTATGCATCCCTGTACACAAAGTCAGAGACGCCCATGAGGGTGCAGACCAGCACCCAGCTCGGGCACAAGGGCAGGGCTTGACATGCATCTGCTGAAGTGAAGGATGCAGAGGCAAACCCACGGTTCTAAGCTCTGTGTCCAGGCTTAGAACAGCACTGCAGCCTCACACAGGCCCAAGCCCTATCTGGACAGCCCCAAATCCCCCCAAGTCTGATGCTGGCTGTCTCCAACCTCAGTCTGGATGGCTGTCCGCACTTCCTAATGTGACAGAGAAAACTGACACAGTATCCCAATCCTATAAACACTTATGTTGTTCAGATTGGGTTAGCAACTCATTTCATCACATATGCTATCACTGGGATTTATCAATTTGCTAATAAACCACTTGGACCCAATTATTTGCTAATGAAGATTAAGCCTTGTAATGATTCCTAGAAGACACTCATATTTCTCAATTTCAGAAAGCGCCACTGGAAGTAAGTGCATGAAGAAGTTCCTAAATGTGGGGTGTGGGGCTTACTATTACCCCATGGGCTCACGTGGCATCATGTGTGTATACAATATGTACTTGTGTATTAAACACAAAATACAAATACACATATACTCGTAATTGCTCGTATTTATACAAATAAAAACTGAAAGTTCACACACCAAAAAATAACCAAAATAATTACCTATGGCGGACTGGAGAAATACGTAGATATAGAAAAGAATGGGAATAAGATTTCTCTGTGTGTGCACTTTCACAATATTATATGAAACATATGAATATATTACCTACTCAACAAATTAAATTCAACTTTTAAGTCTGGATGTTGCTGATCCCACTGGCAGAGTATTGATAGAAAACAAGCACAAAGCCTATCCTACCAAGTCCAGATGGAAGAACCAGATTCCTGGCCCACTTCAGTCATATGCTCGACTGGGTGCTGCAGATGCTGATTTAAGAGAACTACATACACCTTTATCATGTGGAAGCTGAATTTTGGGGGGTTTGCATCCCTACTGTCAGACACTGTCCAACAAAACTTTCTCAGGAGGTTACCACATAGTGTTGATGATTTACTCTTACTACGTGTGTTACCATCCACAAAACAGTAGGTGAGAAAGACAGAGGGAAGAGTAATCAGAGAAAGGAAGGTTCCAGTTGGACCGTAGGTTAACACACCCACCCAGACTAAGAGACAGCTTGACTCACAGGCTTCAAAGGGAACTTTCCAACCATCCAAGGAAAGGGCATCCCAAAATCACAAACCAGGGCAGTCAGAACTGCCTCCAAACACACTGAGCTGAAGCGCCTCCATGCTCTGCGGTTTGGTTGGGAAATGTTCTATTTCAGAGACAAGCAATTTCATGCAAGACTACGTGGCCTATTTCAGAAACTGAAATTTACAGCTGGAAAAAAAGGGAAAGAAAGCAGTTCATAGGTTTTAATAAAATGAAAGAGTAAGCTGAGCTCCAATCCCATGGCTCCACCTCTTGAAGTGACTGATTCACCCCCCTCACTGTAGTTCCCCCAGGGATGGGGGCAGATGTAATGGTAAGAGACCCACCCATGACAGAGGGGCCAGGCAATAAATGTCACTTTGTCTGGGAGGCCAGTACAATTCATCATTACTACCAGATAAAGTGTGAGCACTGATGAAAGAAAATACTAACGGCTGATACCAACAATCCTTCATAAATATAATAAAATTAAATCTCGACTTACATCCAGTAAACAAGAAGTTCCCTCAATATTTAATTTCTGACCTCTAAATAGCAACCAGTAAAACGGTCTCCAAATTTTTCAAAGTTTACTGTATTATTTCAAAGCATACTTTGAATTGGCTTTACTCCACCCTGAATTAATGGGTTCCAATAAACTTGGCATTAGTATGACTCAGGAATGTTTGGAAATAATGTATCAAAAGTCCTCATTTCTTTATAATAGAGTTTAGCCCCCTAAAGGAAGGGTTTTTAACTATTAACCAATAGCAGAGTTAGCAGAATTCCATGCCCTTAATTCAACAGTGTTCTGTTTGCATCCCAGTGGGAAACTAGCCACGCATCAATACCTGCCCAGTAATGAGGCCACGGAAGGATGTGGCTGGTCTCCTGGCCCTTAGCCAGGGACCAGCTTGGCATGTGACCACACAGACCCTCCCCTCAGTGTGTGTGACCTTGTTTCTCAGCCTCCCTTGCAGCTAGTGGTGGCCACCTGCTGGATTCTGGCTAAAGGAAGGTGAGCAGAAGGTGCACGTGTCCTCCAGATCTGTTCTTAAAAGCACACTGTCCTCCGGACCCCTGTCCTTTCTAGGAGAGCTGAACCACTTCTGTGCCCATAGCCCTGCCCTGACCACAGAGATGAAGATAACGTCCTTGAAGATGACAGACCAGCCAACTGGGCATTTGGATCCCTGAAATTCCAGCAGACCAGCTGGCTAGCCAACCTGGACTGCTCATTTCCAGACATTCTTTTAAAGTCACTCTATGGAGAAGGGTCTCAATCAGGGCAGTTTAGCATTAAGCTGTAATTAAAATAGAATTGTAGACAAAATCTAACTCCCCATTCTCTACCCTGGCCTTCAAAGATTCACCTGAAAATCTGACCAAAGAGAAACATTGTATTTGTTTGGTCTCTGTTTTGTAGATAACCTGAGTATATAAAGCACAGGGTCCGAGAGCTGGCTGAGACCTGCCTCTAACTCTGGGTGTCCTAGGCAGAGAAACATTGGGGATGACAGGACTATTATTTCTCTGGGCTGCCAGAGTGCAAGTAGAGAATAGGAGAAAAACAGTATTATTCTAATCAAATTTTGATACTTTACTAGTTCTGAAAACTAGTTCCACATATTTCTTCTGCCTTCTAAATTACTAATTACAAAGTATTACAGAGTATTTATATATATAGATAAAGCATTTAAAAAATAGTGTTATCATCATGATATTGCAGAGAAAAATCCCTGCTAAATACAAAATCCCAAGGTTTGTCACGAAACAGAATCTGGAAAAATAGATTAATTTAGTGAGTCTGACAATGTTCCTGAACTGGACACAATTTTGGAATCAGAATGAAAATGCTCTTTTCCTTAATGCCTACCCCTCTGTAATAGAAAGTATGGTCTATTTAAGAGAAACAAAAGGTAACATAAATTTCAAACAAAATATCCTCAACTACTTCACTGCCAAAAAAAAAAAAAAAATTCGAATTATATTCTCAAAAAAGGCACAAATTTTTCTACCCAATTACATTTCCCAAATACACATATATGTTAAGGACCAAATACGAATGAATTGTCATGTGGAAAGAGAGCAAACCACCCACTTGTTGAAGCAGATATGTCCGGAGTAGTTCCGGAAATCCTCCTCCGTGAGCTGCCAGTTTTTAATCGATCCCTTCACAAATCCTGATACCATTATGAAGCCCAGAACCAGAACATTCACACAAGTGAATACTTTGTTGACCATGGCCGACTCTTTCACACCAAGAGTTAAAAGTCCTGAAAAAGTGCACAAACAGAAAATTTTGTCTGAGCGTTAACCTCATACTAGGTAAGTCCTTCTGGGGATGGGGACAAGATGGTGACTTGAAAGAATCCAAGTGGTAGCAAACCCCCAAAGATTTCTGTGAGCCTCTGAGAATAGGGCTGAATTAATTATCTTTCTAGAGGCAGGGATCAAAATAACCAAAGCCCATGGGATATTTAACACACCTATAAGAGCTGGCCTTCCTCTGGAATTGAGGGCGCACCAAAGGACTACGGAGATCAGGGTTATCACCATCAACCACCCACAGAAAGTGAGCCCCTCCCAGGGGACCAAGAGTGTGCTTCTCCCCGCACCCAGCCTCTCCCTCCTCCTCTCATTAAAAGGCATTTTGCTCAGTTTCTTGGTAGACAGGAATTTTTCAGAGGAGGGCCCTTTAGATTTACCTTGGGATGTTAGTAATCACAGCAGTGACAATTATCTGTGATTGTGGAACCAACACATACAGTTCCTCCTTGGACTCAATGCATGTAAAATACTGTCTAAGCTAGGAGATGGGTTCCCACGACCACTGTTTATGACTTGAGACTACTGACCGGCTGTGCATGCCTTTCATACACTGCACAATAAAAAATGTTCTCCAGAATAGATTGCATTCTGAAACAGACGTTAGAAGAGAATTGCACGATCAGTCACAGGCACATGTCATGTGCCACTGTGTTTTTTCTCCAGCATCCCTCCCTCCCGTGTTTATGACAATCTCACTGGTGCAAACTTATTTTCTGATACATGTTCCTGCCAGCTGGACCAGAAATACTGCTGAGACGGGTCTATGCGAGACGATTTCAATTACACGGTGTGGATTATAAGGCTTGTTGTTTTTAAAACTCATCCAAGCTAACCTCAAAGGAGAATTTATCTGTACTTCAGCTTCTTGTTTATATATTAAATGCCATCCTCGGGCTGAAACACAGATACATGTTACAAAGAAGCTGCCATTATCTGTGTTCATCTAATAGCTTGAATTTTTTAGTTCTGTAATCTCAACTTTGTCAGGAAATTTATTTAAAGGGTGTCCTGAAGGCTATAAGGTATAAAACTACCCAAAACTTCTAGAACACCAGGGCATAAGTTAGTGTTCCAGATGGATCTCATTCCTCCATATCTCCCTGGTCAGTGAAACTCAATTTTTCCTTTCCAAATAGTCAGCCATTGAGTGAAAAGAATTTGTATTCCTAGGTCACCTGCATAAAAAGCCTGCAGTACTAACAAAATCTTACTCCACTATCAGTTACACAAATACCAAAGATTCTCCTTATTTAAATGATATGTAACATGATAGCTATTGAATAGGACAACGCTTCGTGAAGCTATAAGAAGCCATTAAAACAAAAAGGATATCTGCAATAATTACAAAAAAGAAAAGAAAAGAAAGTTGAGGGGCAGAGGAAAAAACAGAAAAGGATGAAATGAATTTAACGGGGCCAATCAGATACCTTACAGCTACCCCTCCCACCCAGTGTCTCCCTCAATGTATGGCTTTACCTGTTAAGATAAGAATTATAATCACGGCAAATATGTCTGGGTTTTCAGCCAGCACCCCAGGCGCATGCAGAGCCATGTGTGTCTTTGAGAACTCCCCTATGGGTTTGCCTATCAGCTCGTCAAATGTGGCGCTCCAGGCCCTCGCAACGCTTGAAGTACCTGTCACAAAACACAAGCACCAGAGTTTATATAAGAAAACAATTAACAGAGTATTTGTCATCAAGCTCAATGTCTAAAGCATCAACGAATGCATGGGAATTCTGCATCAGCAGCATCCGCCTGATTCCAGGATATGCAACAAGAAATATTAGTGTCAAGCCATTAAATGGTTTCACGACCCACTCACAGGTTTGAGCCTGCAGTGGAAAACACCTTACTAGGAAAGTTCCTTTTTCAAGACCCTCCCGGAGGCGGCAAAGCAGACAATAGCTGCCTCCCATTAAACACTGATCTCCGCTAAGAGGAGAATGGAGGATCCACACAGGACTTACCATTATCCATCTCAGGAATAGTCCCCTGCACACCCCAGGGCAGGCGCTAGCCAACTTGTTCACTATGTACCTCGTACCTCAACATGGTCTCTACCAGCTGACCCACAGGTCACAAGTGCCTGGCTACCCTCCTTCTCCCCATAAACCCAGACACAAGGAGCACAAATGGATGCAGCTGTCCAAACAGCAACAATAGTCAATTGCTTGCTGGCTTTCTTTTAATTTGCATAAAGATACTGCTTTTCCAGTGGTGTTTCTCAGGAAATATGGCTAAAATCTAGTATTTACACAGAGCATTTTCTTGTTTTCAAAGGAGGCCCTGCTGGTGACTACCATCTGGAGCACTCGTGAGGTCTCTCAGAGTGATCTGCAAAGATTCCCTTTGGTCTCACGCTACATCTTTTCCCAACAATTCAAAGATTGAACCACATTCCTTCACAAGAGCACAATCTGTTAAGAGCACAACCCAGAGAAGAAAAAGACCCCTGACTGCTGACAGTTCCCACCTACCCAGCTGAAGCTGGGGCTGCTCACACTTCCTCCCAGCCTCTCCACCACTACCACCATATGCTGAATCATGGCCTAAAAAAAAAATTTTTTTTTACAGGTCAGTTTTCTGTAAAAACTGCCATCTCCGGGCCTCCCTGGTGGCGCAAGGGGTTAAACACCGCACTATGAAGCAATCCGAAGCCTCTGTAGCACGAGTTCGATTCCCGGCCGGTCAGGGAGCAACCCACATGGCGCAGCATACCTCTCCTGACTTGCCCGCTGCTCCCCTCAGCACTGTATTTCGTCAGTCTGCCTGTTCTGTTCCCTGCTCTGTCTCTGGTGAATCCTCTCACCCTCCGCACTGCATCTCTGGCCTGTACCCCAATTCTTGTATGCATAAATAAATAAATCTTAAAAAAAAACACCTGCCATCCCCTAAAGGTTAAAGCTGAGAATCATTGGTAGTAACAGGAGTGAGTCTCACACAAGCACACAACTCTGGGAGAGAACCCTTCATCGGTTGGTCTAGAAGCAGTAGGTGCTTCACTCTTTCGTTTTATGCCCAGGCAGACCCTCAGGAAATACAGAGGCCAATTTAAAATACTACCTCCCCACTTCAGGCTGCGTGAGCATTTGTAGTTAAGTTTTTGTGTCAATCTGAAGAAAACCATTTCTATAAATTTTATTCTCAAAGTTTAAAGAGAAAGTTATGTTGGTAATGAAAAGCGAAGGGGCTGCTCAGAGACCTTTTGGGGAGCCCTTCTCCAGCTGTCCTCAAGTACATGGCAATGGCGCCCCATCCAAGCCCAGGGCCCCTCAACCAAGCATAGCATTCTCCAGATGGGGTGGATGCAGGAGCAAGCTGGGACCCTAGGGCTCAACTTGTCCCTCTTACTGTATTTTTGATCCTATTACAGAAAAGTTTATTAAAATACAAAGGGAAATGGGTAGTGGTGATTTTACTTCTGCTTTTGTAAACAGGGCACTCATCTTTGATTTTTCTTATATTTAGATATTTCCTTTAAGTCGATGTTTTTAACTTTGGTCATAATCAAAATAAAAGTAACATAAAGAGAAATAAAGCTTTCTCACCTATCAAGCTGGAAAGACTTTTGTACTTTTGGTGTTTTTATTTGTTGGCTGGTTGATTGCTTTCCATGCTAATGCCCAGAGTCAGTAAGGATGTAAGGAAAGGGGCACAGGGTGGTCTGGGGGATCACAGTCAATGAAAGAAAAGTCTTAAAATATGTGGTACATAGGAAAGTCATCAAAAAGTAAAATAAAATGAAACAAATCCTAAGAATTCTCATCACAAGGAGAAAACTTTTTTAAGTTTCTTCTTTTCTTCTTTCTTATATGTATATGAAAAGATGGATGATAGCTGAGCCTACCGTGGCAATCATTTCACAAGATATGTAACTCAAACCATCCTCATGACTTTAACTGACACAGTGACATATGCCAGTAATTCCTCCCCAAGGCTAGGGGAGAACGGCAGGTTTGCTGATATAGACATTCTGATTCTTAGACCATTAAAAAAAAAACGGTCATGTTGAAGATTAATTAATACATTTATAACAACAATACCACAAAATACCATAAGGATATCTGATAAATCACGTATACAAATCAAATAATGGTAACTAGGAATATTACTGTGGAAAAAGTTAATGCCGTAAGAAATGTTTACTACATACTGTTTTATAAGCAAAGAGACATACTGGATAAAAAATACACACTAATGTTCACAAGATACTAACAATGACTCTAGCCTTGGAAACAAGCTCTTATTAGATAGTTTTCTTCTTCCTCCATGTATCCCTAATATCTAGCATAATACCAGGCACAGAGGAGGCGCTCAGTAATATTTGTTGAAAAAAATAAACGAGTAAGAATTAATTTCTCCAGGCTCTCAGATTGGGTCATTTCTACTTCTTTATGCTTTTCTATATTTGTAAAATTTTTCTGCATCAGTGACATATTATTTACTCCACTAATCAGGAAAAAAATACTTAAAGAAGCTGAATTCTCTGTAACCAACTAGAAATGTGCTATTGACTCTGTGACCATGGTGTTAAAGGACCTTGTTGGTCTGGCTGTCCCCACCAAGCGCCCGATGCACCTGCTCATTCAAACATGGGCACAAACACAGTCAGCGATGCCTAAAGGGGATGGGAAAGTGTACAAGATTGGGGAGAAGGCAGGAAAAAACAGATGTGGGGAGGGTCTGGACCTCCTGGGACTCACCGATGATATAGGAGAGGATTAAGTTCCAGCCGGTGATGAAGGCCCAGAGCTCCCCGACGGTGACATAGCTGTAGAGGTAGGCTGAACCCGTCTTGGGGACCCGAGCGCCAAACTCGCCGTAGCAGAGGCCCGCCAGCACAGAAGCCAGCGCGGCGATCAGGAAGGAGATGACAATGGCGGGGCCAGCATCCACTCGGGCCACTGCTCCAGCCAGGACATAGACACCAGCGCCCAGCGTGCTGCCCACCCCGAGCGCCACCAGGTCGAAAGTGTTCAAGCATCGAGAGAGCCGGCTCTCTTCACGGCTGCAGTCCACCACCTTCCGCCGCAACATCTGCTGGCCAATGTTGAGTAGTACTTTACACCCCATTTTGCTTTTCCAATCTGCCAAAGGAAAAGAACACAAGCACTTACTGCATTGTAACTATCTGTTCCCCTGCTACCCTGCTCTCACAGCGCAGAGAGATATGAGGTCCTCTACTATGAGGTCATTTGCCGAAGTTTCCAAATTCCATTGTTGGTGATCAGAAAATTCACATATGGCTTCTCTTTTCTCAGGCTTAAGCCGAGCACCCAGGAGATCAATGTACTAGCTGACCTTCCTTTGAGGTCTGTGAGCGTCCACATTTATCTCAGTTCTTCTTAGCTGGAAAGCCTGTGGCGGGCAGAAATTATGTAGTATAGGAAACACACATTAATGGCATTGTTCCTGCCTCGCAATAATCATGCAATTCACCAAGAAAAACAGGATGTTATTCCAAGTATACAGTCATGGAAGCCAAACCAAACAATATTTGAATTTCATTATTAAAACTCAAAGGGCTTGAGTAGCAATGACAATGCTGTTTAGACCTTTCTGGAGTCCTTGGAGGGCAAGGACCAAGCTGTTTCTACTTTGAAATTAATACAGAGTGAGGTACAGAGCAGCAAAATGTGGAATTATTACAACTCAGGGCATTTTGTAACTGTTAGTGCTTCTGCCCTCTCCAGGGCAGACCAAAATATTGTCCAAGAGCTTGTGAAATGCTTCTGGAGAGGCCACATTCACATGGCTGCCATGCGCCCTTCTAGAGGGCACACCCTCCAGCAAGTCCTGGGAGCCGCAGGCCAGCAAAGCATCCCAGGGCAGGGCTTCAGTCCCTCTCCTAACTCACAGGCCAGACTTTCCGAGACGGTTATTCTGAGGGGCGAGCACAGCTGGGAAGTCCCTGGCCATAATGAATTGGGGCCCCCTGAAGAATACGACTCCCCACCCTTAAATATGGGCATCCAGAGAAGGACAGCCTGGAAAGGGCAGGAGAGTGACTTTCCAGTGGAGAACCTGATAGACCCCAACCTGCACCGGTGGTCAGGCCGACAGTAAACAAGTCCTACTGGCCGTGAGACTCTATGAGGACACTTTCCAAAACCCCAACCTCCTGTCTAACCATGGGAAAATATAGGACAATTCACACGTGAGGGACAATCTACAAAACACCTGATCATGCACTTCAAAACTGTCAAGGCCACCAAAAACAGTCTGAAAAATTGTCACAACCAAGAGGAGTTTAAGGAGATGTGATGGTTAAACAGAATGTGAGAACCTGAAGGGGATCCTGCAAAAGAAAAAGGACACTAGGGGGAAACAGGAAATCTGGATAAAGTGCTAACTTCAGTAGTATCAATGTCAATCCATCATTTATAATTAATGTACCACACCCAGTGTAAGACGTTAATACCAGGATAAACTAGACATGGGGTTTATATGGAAGCTCCATACCATCTTCACAACGTTTCCATAAATCTATTGTAGAATAGAATTTATTAAAAACAAGCAAACAAACAGCATACACAGAGATGAGCCATTATGATTTTTGGCTGCTAAGGTCGTTTTTCATCTTTATCAACTGTTATTTATCAAACTTTGCCACAAGTCAGTCATTGGGAAATAAAAATAGTCTAAATGGAAATGGCAAAATTAGCAAAGCACACACCTGCCCAGCTGCTGAGTATCTGGCACCCCTGAGGCTTCACTCTGGTGCAGGACAACTCGGCAGCCGCCGCCACCTCACGCCTGCACGCCCCTGCAGGGTCTGTCCCTGCCAGCTCTGAGTCACAGAGGGCCTGGTGGTCCTTTCTGCCTTTTAGCTGACAGACCAAGAGAAGAGAACAAAATTCTTCAACCCTGGTGAAGTTTTTAGCTAAAATGAAGATTACAGATCATCCAAGCTGATCCCCTTGTTACAAAGATGAGAATAAGTGGCACAGAGAGCCAAGTGTCAAACAAGGTCACGGAGCTCTGAGGCACAGTGGGCCGGTTCCTCAGCCAGAGCTCTGGCTTTACAGGTGGGAAGGAAATAATATCACTGTAAGGTGGGGAGGAAGTGCTAGGAAATGAGGGAAGATGACGTGATCATGGAACAGGAAAATCAGACACAAGGGTCTGATAAGAGCAGAAAAGGGCAGGCACTGTGACCAAGATAAGAACAAGAACAGAGATCAATAGCTTTCAGGCTTGTTTTCGGAAACTTAAGGGTGTGTTTTAGCAAGCTCTCAGGTCAAAGTAGATTCTGAGGTGGTTCGGCGAGGCAAGGGAGAAGACAGGGTTCCCATGCTGTCAAGTCGGGGCTCTGAGTGGCTGGAGGCAGGCCTTCTCAGTGAGGGCTGGAGGACCCTTTGTGACATAGGGACCAGGTAAGGTTCCAGCACTGCTGAGTGAGCCCAGAGATAATTCCTGGGCATTTTGCTTCTTCCTTAAAGAATTTAACTGGAGGGCCTCCCTGGTGGTCCAGGAGTTAAATCTCAGCACTATCACCACTATGGCCTGAATTCGATCCCTAGCCAGGGAGCTAACCCCACATAGTGCAGCAGACCTCTCCTGTCTCACCGCTGGCCCCTCAGCAGTGTATTTCAGTAGATCCGCCTGTTCTGCTCCCCACTGTCTCTGGTGAATCTTCTCAACCCACCTCCTGAACCTCTGGCCTACACCACAGTTCTTATACGCATAAATAAAAATAAATCTTAAAAAGCAATTTGCTAAGTAAATATTTCTGCTTTTAAGTGGCCTTTAGAACAGCCCAGGCACCTGGAGGAAGCCACCAGAGTGAAATCTGTCATTACAACAGGAGTGCTCTGTGCTTTATACTTGCATCAGGCCAAGTAAGGAAACTGGGTCTCTGCCAGGGTGCTGGTCACCTGGGTCCCACTGGTGGGCGGGTGCACACAGGGATGATGTCATTTCAGCTGCCCTGCACCACGAGCAGCTGGCCAAGTACCCGGCACGTGTGGACGGCTGCCCTGGAGGCACCCAGAAGGCTCTGGATCGTGTGCCACTTTAAAAGGGAAGGGTACAGAATACTCCTGACAGGAATTTCAACCAGAGTGGTGGAAGGATGCAAAAAAGAGCATTCTAAGAGAACGTTCTGAGCATTCTAGCCATTGTAGGAGAGGAGAGGGAAGGGAAGGAAAAAAAACTTGTGTTAAAGGAAGTGTCCTTAAAGCCAGATCTACTTCCCCCCAGATGTCAGCAAGCCCAGGTGCAAGAACTTAAACTTAGGAAAAAAAAAAAAATTATTTTTTGAGTGTCTCTGGAATTGGTACACACCAAGATGGAGACCCCAGAGGCAGGCATGGCATTATGAAAGGAGGTGAGAAAATGGAAGAACTGAACGCAAACATGGGGGCTAAGGATGTATGTCTGAAAGCTGCAGCACACCAAGCAATGACCAAGGCCTGCTGGTGGCAGCTGGGCTGGCCCACACCTGTGCCAGCACTGGGCAGCAGGAGTCCTGCCTGCAGTGCAATGTGACTTTGGAACCTGGATCCTCGAAGTTCCTCAGACAGTTTACATTTATCTGACAGGAGGCTTCAAGTACGGCACTGAGTATGCAACTACCCTCCACCAAAATTCAAGTATCCACACCTGCTGTGACGCCTGTGATTAACATAGCCAGGGTCTAAGGTAATGCATGACGACCCCCAGTGGCCCAGGAGCGAGGCCAACAGGGCGCTGATTTGGGACCAGGAGGTCTGTCTCAAAGACCTTGACTTTCATGGGGGGGAAATGGGATTTCATTGACCAGGGACAGAGGCACAGAACCTGTTAAGTACACATCTAGTCAGAAGCCTCAGTTGCAAAGATGCTTTTCTAAACTACAACTACATGCAATGTGGCTTCTCACTGACACATGTGGACATATGATCTAAGGTGAATGGCTGAAGTTCACTGAGCTCACCTGTAGTCCAGGCCTTGGTGACTCATTTTTTTTTTTAAGATTTATTTATTTATTTATACAAGCACTGGGTACAGTCAGAAGCGCGGGAGGGTGAGAGAATTCACCAGAGCCAGAGCGGGGAGCAGAGCAGGCAGAAGGACCGAAGTACACTGCTGAGGGGAGCAGCGGGTGGCAGGAGAGGTCTGTGCGCCATGTGGGGCCCTCTCCGGTGGCCGGGTATCGGACCGGCGCTACAGAGGCTGCAGGCAGCTTCACAGCCCAACGCTCAACCGCTGCGCCACAAGGGGAGGCCCTGGTGACTCATTTTTTTTTTTTTTTATTTTTTTTTTATTTTTTATTTTTTTATAGAGGCATGTTTTTATTTATTTATTTATTATATTTGTTTGTTTTTTGTTTATACATGCACTGGGTACAGTCAGAAGCGCGGGAGGGTGAGAGAATTCACCAGAGCCAGAGCGGGGAGCAGAGCAGGCAGAAGGACCGAAGTACACTGCTGAGGGGAGCAGCGGGTGGCAGGAGAGGTCTGCGCACCATGTGGGATCCTTCTCCGGTGGTCGGGGAGCAGCCGGGGATCGAACCGGCGCCGCAGAGGCCGCGGGCAGCTTCGCAACCCAACGCTCAACCGCTGCGCCACACGGGGAGGCCCTGGTGACTCATTTTTAACACCATGGCCATATCAGAAAATCTCTCCCAGCAGCTGAGTTCTTTCTACTGATTCAACCAAAGCTGATAGTACAAACTGCCTGAGACCTCTGAGGTTCCATTAACTGCCAATGTGTACAACGCACCCTCATTCCACACCAGAGCAGAGTTGCTGGGGAGGAGACTGGAAGGGAGAGCCTCTGCATTTCAGACCTGACTTCCAGCTGACCGAGGAGGAGACCCAGGAGCACAGTTGGGGGGTCCACCAAGGTGCACCCCCACCCAGCCAGCGCAGCTTCCAGGAACAGGCCAAGAGCACAGTTCACTGGAAGCAGTTACTCACAGATGTTCCAAGACAGGGATGGCAAATGGAAAGTAGACACACTGGCCAGAGTGCATCGGCCCCTCACCAGGCACGAGGCCCCTGAGGAACAGGACCCATTGCACGGCTCCAGCTCCATGCTGGCCACCCCACAAGCTCACACTTAGAAGTGGTCCAAGCAAATAACACATAGGGCCAAGGGCTAACACTGTTGTACCAGTTAGAGTTACAGAAGTGCAGCAAGCCCCTCAAGAGTGAACTCTATGGCCGAAATGGTACACACACAAGAGTTTTTAACGGTTTGAATACCATGGGAAACATCCAGTAAAAAATGTGCATAGAGGGGCCTCCCAGGTGGCACAAGGGGTTAAGACACAACCTATGAAGCAGTCTGCAGCCTCTGCAGCAGGGGTTTGATCCCTGGCCTTGCCAGGGAGCAACCCACATGGTGCAGCAGACCTCTCCTGACTTGACTGCTGTTCCCTTCAGCAGTGTACTTGGGAAAATCTCCCTGTTGTGTTCCCCACTCTGTCTCTAGTGAATCTTCTCACCCCCACACCTCTGGCCTGTACCCCAGCTCTTGTATGCAAAAATAAATAAATCTTTTTTAAAAAATGTGCATAGTACCCCAATGAGCAGCATATATATATATATATATATATATATATATATATATATATATGAGGCGGGGGGTGTGTGTAAAATAAAAAAACATTAACTGAGATTATCTTTCAGATTACTGAGTCTTTTCTCTATTTGCCATGCTGTCTACAACAAGAGGAACTGCATTTTAAAGCAGAAAGCAATAGTAATAACTGGTAACAATTGGGGCACCAGCCAAATGAAAGATCCTTTACCTAAATTATTTTAATCTTCACACCAACTTAATAGGCTATGATTTACATGCATTCTAGAGATAAGGAAACCCAAACTTGACTAGAACTCAGTATTTCTCAACCCTAGATTAGAATTACATGGGGAGATATTTTCAATTAATGATGCAAGGACCCCGACAGATGAGGTACCTTCTGGTAAGTTCTGCCAGGTAACTTACCCATGTAGCCAATGAATGAAAGAGGCAAACAAGATGGAAACTCACGTCCTACTGCCTCCAAAGCCCTGCACTGTCCTGTGAATTGGAAAAGATGGGCTCCCCAGAGGTGCAGTGGGGTGAAAGTAGGGACAAACAGCAGAGTTAACTGGTGGAGGGAAAGGATGTCTCCTCACAGGGCTGAGCATTGTAGGGTAAAGAAAATGTCAGGCTTTTCTGCCCTTCCGCCATCAGGATAGATGATGGATCCTTGTCCTGAATGCATGCCTGATGGTGGGCACCTGGAATAGGGTGTGGGCATAGGTAGATGGGATTCAGCTGAGCTAAGACTGTGCTTTTAAGGGCGGCGTCACGGGGGGACGCCAGCAGCCCCAGCCAGCAGCAGCAGAACCTGAAGGAGAAGCCGAAGCAGAAGCAGAGAACGCCAGAGAGCCCAGATAGAGTGAAGACTTGCTGGGGCTGGGAGGCCTGCCAGCCTCCCAGTCCCCCAGCCAGCACCCCTGCCTGCCATATGCCTGGTGAACCCCAATAAAAAACCTGCAAAACTACTGAGGACTCTGACTCCTCCTTTACCCGATCTGCATGGCATCAGAAAACCTGCACTGTGCCCGTTCCTGCCCCTACAGCATCTACATGTCCGGCCCAAAAGGCCATATCCTAACTCGCCTAAATGCCCCTAGCACCAAGGGCACCAGCAGGGTTTACAGCACCATAACAGAGCACGCTCATTACCAGCTGAGATAAATTCAGGAAACTAACAGGACACTGACTCTTTCTCCTGAGGTAATCCTCACAGTCAACAACTTGTGAGGGTTTCTCCATCAAGAGATTTTTTTTTTAGCTGAATATTTAATGCTTTGATTTACCAAAGAGTTTCTATTTCTCTAAATGAATATATATACAAAAAGATACTAGCTTTAGGATAAAATCTAACCCAACCAACACAGTCTATCTATAAAGTCTTAAAAGATTCCCATTCTGTCACAGGGTGTGTTCCATGCTCCCTTACCCCTCGCCACATCTGAAGGGCTCCCTTTCTCCACTGCGAGGACAGTGTGCGTACCTGTTATACCCTCTGACCAGGTTTTATAAGGCCCCAAGGCATGATCTTAAACAAGTCAGTGCTGGGGTCTTAGTTTCTACATCTGAAAAGATGGGCATGGAACCATCCTACCACTGCAGGGTGCTTGTGCGGATGAGTCAGGTAATGCACCTGGGAACAAGGCAAGAAGCAAAAATCACCGTCATTCCTAAGTCTCCAAGAATTGTTATCCCTGCCACAGGGATAGGTGCTAACTGCTTTCAATTTCTTTTAAATCTCAGCAATCTGCCCCCACAGAAGAGAGGGCAGACAATCCCAATTAGCTAAGGGTTTCTGTCAGTAGGGTTGTCATTAGTTGAAGCTTTACCACAGATCCTATTAATGCCCAATACATAACTACACTCACATCTTTTCAATATTGTTTACTCAAATCAAAGAATGACACATAAAACAAGAAACCAGAAAAAGAACAACTAACGACAGCTTCACAAAGCCAGATACAATCTAGAAATGTTCCCTCCTATGGCAGCAGGATGTGATTAGAGTATTTATGTGTCTGGATAGCATTTCCATCACTGGGAGGGCCGTTCTTTATCAGGAGAGGTGGCCTGGCCCCGTGTACAGAAACACAGCACAAGAGAAACATATATTCCCTCAGGAGCTCGGTGTGCCATTAACCACACTCACTCTCACGTATGTATGCTCACGGTCATGTGAAGCCAGGCAATCTACAAACCCTCTGGGCTGGTCTAGGGGAAGACTTATCACTACATCTCAACGACAGTGTCAATTTTCCACAACTAACCAGGGACCTGGCCTAAGAGTAGGGACTGTTCATAAAGTCAGCTTTGTGTGAGCTGTGAGCACTTCACTGGAGCCTCACAAATTGTTACAGAATTGGCTCTCAAATCCTAAGTGGAAAAGAAATGTCTTAAATCAAGTTCTCCTAAGTTTATAATTCACCCTTACTACCACAACAATGCCTCTTTAATTCTCTGGGCCTCCAAGGTATCGCGAAAGATGAAATAGAATTTTCCATGGCTCCTTCTAAAAAGCCTAAGAACTAGCACCTGGAACTAGAGCACAGCAAAGGAGAGATTCCATGCAAAGCTGACGTAACATTCACTGGACATTCACAGACCAATACTTTTCCATTTACACATTTACTCACTCAACAAACCTGTAATAACCCCAGGCATTTCCCCCCATAAGCAACTTTGAAAAAAACATGAAATTTCTAGAAAATGCATTCCTTCAAAGTAGACAAGCTGCAAAAAAAAAAAAAAAAAAAAAAAATAGGGGCAGAAAAGATTTGGAAAACAGATTCCCAGGAATCTACAGTGCACAGTCACTTCACCTGTAAGAACAGGAGCCAGGATTTGAACCTGGGTGACCTAATTCTAGAAGGCTATTTCACGGTAGGTGAGCTACAATGACTCAACTTTGGTCAAGCTTATTGCCCTTGCCACTCGACAATTTCTTATTCCATTTGTCAACCTGACTGAAATCCTACAAATAAAAGATTCACATGGGTTAAGTGACAACGTCTTTTTGACTGCCCATACCTCTGTAAAAATTATGTCAATTATATATTCACAAGTGGAATAAATCAACATAACCCACCCACTTACCTCCAGCTGCTGGACCACTCACTGCCTTTGAGATAATTGGAACTTTCTTTGGGACTGAGGAAGTGCAAGTTAATTTGGGCTGCAGGGGCCAACCGAGTCTTCAAGAGGTAAATTCTAGAGGGCAAACAGAGAGCAGAGTCTAAGAAAAAAAAGCCAGACAAAACAAAATGCTGGCGATCTTCTGTCCTGATAAAAGTGCGGCAATACGTCAAAGCAGCACATAAAGTTAAAAGTGTAGTAACATACATACTGTAAGTGTATATAAAGAATGGTCTAGTAGACAGGGGCATCGAGGTAGCATTTCTGCACAGAGATTATGGGCTTTTTAAATTTTCTGCATTTTTACTATTTTCTCTATGGTATATTGCTTATGAAATTAAGGTGAATGAAATCCTCTTAATGAACCCAACTAACAAGTAGGAAAAAAAGGAAGGCAGAGAGGTCCAAAGACAAGTTAAACCCATGTCAAGAGGGCATCTATGAGATGGAAATAATAGGGTAAGTGGGGCTCCATTATGCTTTCTTTCTACACAAGTGCACATTTAGAAATTTCCAAATGTAAACATGAAAAGAAAGGAACTCATTTAGGGTGACCCAGAAAACAATGAGGAAACTCTTTTCATGACCCATATCACGCGCCCCACCCCTAAGACCGGGGCAGCCCTGCAAAGCTGTAAGCCACAGCCAACACTAGTCTCTGCAACAGTCTTTCCTGTAGAGTTAGCTTGAACCATACGAAATTGTCAATGCTGAGTCATTTTTTAGCTAGAAAACCAGCCAAGAATATCTGTAATAAGAAGATGTGTTCTTACCTCTCACCAGCTATGCCCTGAGACATGAATCTGTACAATTTGGGGAATGAAACTAAAATCAGCAAAGGCCACGTGAATTTCAGAGAAGAAAAAAGGAGTGTGACTCACAGGCTATTCAAAAGCTGGGGGCTGCTGAGAGAAACTCATAGGTACACACGTTTTTTTTCTATACTGTGAGGGACGTAAGTGAATTTTTTCAGTTTGCTCTCACCTCCCAATAGGCTTCACCATAACTGGGGAGAAGAAGCATAAGCCGGAGGGGAGCAAAGGTGAGACAAGAGGAGCTCGGGTGAGTGGAAAGGAGGAGGGGAGCACTCAGGAGCCAGCTAAGAAATTGGCAATTTGCTTGTACAATGATTAAGCAAAGGATGGACATGAACAAAATCCTATCTTGTTGTGAAGGACAGAGTGGAGGGAAACAGCACCAGGATGCCAGCTTCCTGGGGCTCAGCCTTCCTTTCGTTGAGTAGCAAGCCAATACACTTGTCTTTGAGCACAATATGTTTAAGCCAATTAATAAAACACCTTTTACGCAAGCAAATGCTATAACCTTTCATGTTTACCTGCCATCTGTTCCCCGTGTCTGGTTTTTACCTCAAAATCCCTGAGACACACATAATACCAACACCTGCGGTTACCATAGGAATTATCTAAGAGGCAAGTACATGTGTAATGCACATATAATCCCTAAGCAGGAAATGTCACATTTTTGGTAGGTCTCCCTGTTCTATTTACAACCAAACTACATTGGTGCCAGGATTTCAAACACTCCCACCCAAAAAAAAAAAAAAAAAAAGTCACAAAAAGATGCGTCACTGCCTCCTAGTGTCATTGCCACCTTACACCTTACCTGTCTTCCATCCAACCACTACCTGTCCTGTCCTTCCACCAACAGGTTTTCTGTGTATGTGATTCACTTAAAGGAACATCCCCTGAGGCGGTGACAGAACAGTCTACCATAAAAGAGAGCATGATTCAATCTGCCTGAAACCCCTCAGAAGGAAATAGCCAGTAAATGAGAATGCCAGAATCTCTGGGATTCTGCAAATATCAGAATGCGTGCCTGAATGATCAAAGCCCAGGAAAGGACTGCACCAGAGGACCAGGTGAGAACAAAGCAGCCCAGTATGTTGAACAAATACAGTCATTTCCAATAGAGCAGAGAGCAGAGAACTGAGCTGGTGTGAATGAGTCTGTGAGCATGTCAGGGTTACCATGTATGCAAACAGGCCACAGACAGTGCCACCTGCTCCAGTGCTGTGGGTTAATGACACACAGTCACTCCAGCATGCGAGTTTGATCCCAGAGTCTCATGGTATGCCAACGTGCCTTATCCAGACTGCGGGTCACTGAAATTCTTCCTTCTTTGGTTACAGCTTTACAATTAGACTTCAAGTCTCAGAGGATGAGGAGACATAGCACAGACTTCTGTTGTTTTTGGAGAATTGTTAGACTGAAAATAGACATTGCACCTAATGCCCCAGACAATGCTCTCTGTGCCCCACTGCCACAGAAAAACCAACTGTGAGGGCACCTTGCCTTCTGGAAGCTCACTGAGACACACATTTTCCTATACAAACAATGTGGCAAAACTGCAGCTGCGGGGCCTCCCCGGTGGCACAGCGGTTGAGCGCTGGGTTACGAAGCTGCCCGTGGCCTCTGCGGCGCCGGTTCGATCCCCGGCTGCTCCCCGGCCACCTGAGGAGGGTCCCACATGGCGCGCAGACCTCTCCTGCCGCCCGCTGCTCCCCTCAGCAGTGTACTTCGGTCCTTCTGCCTGCTCTGCTCCCCGCTCTGGCTCTGGTGAATTCTCTCACCCTCCCGCGCTTCTAACTGTACCCAGTGCATGTGTAAACAGAACAAACAAAACAAATAAATAAAAAGAAATAAACATGCCTCTATTAAAAAAAAAAAAACTGCAGCTGCGTTCTAAAGCAGCTCACAAAGTGACTGAACCTACAACCTCCCTACAGCAGAACTGAGCACGCTGGAGCCATTCCCTCCTGGCAGGGTGATAGAGGACAAGAGGACTCCCATTTGGTCAGCTGTGAATTCCTGATTTAGACATAGCTGAGGACCTCTGTCTGAGGATCTAGAAACCATCCCAGGACACCCATACACACTGTCAACCTAGAGAAACAAAACAGTCTGTGGCTTTTCACTCAGCTGTGACCACTAACCCCCAACCCCCTCAAAGCCTGGGTATTAGGAAAGAGAGGAAGAGCTCTAAAATAGTCTGCCAAAACAGCAGAGACACAGCTGACGGTGGCAGCAGGAGGATGTGAAACAAACTCACTCTAATTTGAACACAGATAAGGGGAAAAAAGGATATTCAAGGAGGACAACGGCTTCTGCCCTGGACAGAATATCCTCCCACTGCCCCATGGCAAGGACCTATCTTATTGACTGTCTTGACCTATCTTATTGGAAAGTGCACCTGGTAACTCTGTACCTTCATTTCTGATATTTACAAGGTTGCAGCAGCCTCATAAACTTAAGGTACTTATTTACACTTGTACACCTCCCCAGAAACAGAAGCCATGGGGAGCTCTTCCTGTTTCCTTCTGCTCAAAGATGCTCACACGTGGCAAAGGTCACTAGATATATCCCCCAAAGTCCTTCTGATGAAGGAGCTGGCATGGTCTGCTGCTCCAGATTATTACATGTTAGGAGTCAAGAATGTGAATGGCTCCAAAGCACAGTAAGAATGTGAAAGAAAAGGATAAAAGACTGGTAAGGTTCTTTACACGCATGCAACTGAAGAAACTATGCTTCCGTTTTTTTTGTGATGAGTAAAATACCAACAATAATGATGACGTCTCCCCATGCAAATAACCTGTTATTTTAAGAGAGAAAAACCAGTAGTCAAGTATTTTAGCAGTAAAACCCTTTTGTCCCAAACTACATTCTATGTCAAATGCAAATATAAGAATCAGAAAAGAGTGGGGCCTTTCTAACTTAAAGAGAGAGAGACGCTGGGCTTCCTCGGTGGCGCAGCAGGTTGAGCGCAGTGCTGTGAAGCTGTCCGCAGCCTCTGCAGCGCTGGTTCGACTCCCGGCCAGCCAGGGTGATTTCCACATGGTGGGGCAGACCTTTCCTGTCATGCCCCATTGCTCCCCTCAGCAGTGCTTTCAGTCTGTCTGCCTGTTCTGCTCCCACTCTGTGTCTGGTGAATCCTCTCACCCTCCCATGCCTCTGGCCTGTACCCCAGCTATTGTATGAATAAAAAATAAAATCTAAAAAAAAAAAATTAAAAAAAAATCTCAGTCCTTAAAAAGAGAGAGAGAGACACACTGAGCCCACTGACCAGCCTTGACCTTCACTGCCCTCCCCATTTGGCTCCAGTCCTGCCCCACCCCACCCCTCCCCCACCAAGGACCCTGGGGCCCCAAGGGCTAACCTGTGATGCACTAATCCACAGCAGACAGTAACAGCACCTAAACCCAACGTGCTACAGAAGAACTTTTAAGTGAAAAGATGAAAAGTAGGCGAGTGAGAGGAATAGGAGTGAGATGAAAGGCTTGGAGGAGGAAGGAAACTGGAATCAGCGCTTGACTTTGAGAAATGAAAAGACTGCAAGAGTCCAACACAGAAACCCAGCTCCACTCACAGCCGCTGCAGCGCTGCCCTCCTCCACAGCCAAGCAGGACCACTGTGAGCGGCACGGGCCCCTAAGTGCTGAAGGCCACAAGGCACCAGGGCCAAGGGGAAACAGATCCTTCCTCCAGAGATTGCCTGCTGACCATGTCTTTGCACAAAGTCTTTGCACTGGTAGGACATTAAGGGTTCTATTTGAAGGAAATGTAGAGTTTAAGCAGCCCTCTAAAATAAAAAGGCAAATCTGTTTTCTGATTAGTCCGTGGAGCATAAGAAACTAAATGAGTCTGAAAAAGCACAGCAGTTAAAAATTTTAAAAGACAATGACCTAGAGTTATCTGTTAACTTAAAACCCCAGCACAAAGGAGACCATCCTGCTGTGGTGCCTGTGTGCAGAGAGTACCTGCAATGGGTCAGGACTCCTTGTCTTAGCACCGAAGTATTGTCTGAGTCATGAAGAAAGACATCCTAGGGGGGGGCAGGATGACAGCTACTGGCTCCTGAAAGGCAAGAAGAGACATTAGACTCCACCTATTTGGGATCCAGAACTTCCAAGTCTGTGATTGTTATAGGAAAGGATGAATCTGTTCAGTTCAGCATTAGGAAAAGACACCCCAACTGCAACACCAACTTTAGATGGGACAAATGGCCAGGATAGCTAGGGGGCTCCCATCACAGGGACGGGGCAGGAGGGAGGCAAATTACAACTTTAAAGGGGAATCAGTGGGGGACTCTAGAAAAGAGAAGAAACTAGACTAGAAGGGCCTCCAAGTAAGAGATCTAAACATGTTACCTCAATAAATGAATGAGCATATTTCAAATAAGAAAGGCTCAAAAGCATCACCCAGGTTATGTACATAGGTTTTCTACAAATCTAGAATACAGAAATGGGCATGCAAGCATTCTGACCCTTGCAAGGAGCCAGAGAGAGGAATGAGGCCTCTCCTAACACTGGTGTTGAGAACTAGTCAGCAGGAACGGAAAACCTTAGCTGGTTCTCCAAGAAACAGCCAGATTCCCACCTCTGTAGCCATCCGCTGAGTTAGCTGACATGAGACAGTGCACACACATACACACACACACCTGCACTTATGACCTAGGGAGAGGTCCCAGATTGCTCTACATGGACCATGCTTGACGGAGGGCACTGCAGTCCTGGAGGGAATGAGATCGAATGACTGACACTGTCACTGTGAATGCAGCCACTGTCACCCCTCGCTGAGGGCACGGTGGGAGGACGTCCTCCATGAGTGGCGTGCAAAGCTGCATGCAAACAGTCCATCCCCTGCATTGCATATGCATGCCACAGAGGAGAGCGATGTAATTAAGCTTCTGGAATATATTTTGGACCTAGTGTTAACCCACAGGGGATTATCATTATGCCAAAAAAGCTTAAGAGGCTGATTGCTAGAGTTTTCTAACTTGAGCAGAAAACCAGCATTTCCAACAAATGTAATCCCTAGCAACACCTCTTATATGTTCGTTTTACATTAATATCTCATCCTTTTCCACTTTTTATTTTGAAAATATCCAAACCTATAGAAAAGTTAAATATATACTTTTCGTCTATATTTACCAATTTTGCCATATTTGCTTTATTTTTCCTTATAGATACATTTTTCATGAACCAGTTGGTAGTGGCTATTTACTTATATTTATTTATTTATAAATATTTTGGTAACTCCTAAATATGACAAACACCAACATGATAGGATGCCACTATCTGACCGGAGAAACTCAATATTCACTAATAGCATCTAAAACACAGCCACAGTCAAACGGCCAAAAGTGTCAAAAACTGCTCCTTCTCTATCATGTGCCAAGTACCATGAGAGCACTAAGAGGAGCGAAGAGGAGAAGGCTCAGGTTCCCCACCCAGGGGGGACACAGACACACAGGCCTTCCAACAAGGTGGACGCTGACATGCAGAGTCTCATGGCGGCTCTGTCGTGGCAGGAAAGTAGGCGGCTCTGCTCACTGGCCGACGTCAGGAAAGGTTTTGCAATGAGTTTACGCAACACTATGGAGGGGGAGAAAATGTTCCAGAGTGGGAACTGAATGTAAAAATGTAGAGACTCGAAGATGACAATCATTCTCCCATTCCTTGCCCCGCCCCCCAAAAAAGACAAAATCCTAGTTCTAGGAACCTGAGCACACATTGAGATGGAAGTATTTTCCTGGGGTGGGCAACGTGATCACTAGTCCTGAAAAGGTGGGAGAGGGTGCTGGAGTCAAAATGAATGGGGTGGAATGAGAGACTCCCTCATGCCAGGTGACTGTGGTCCAAGCAGTCCAGGTGGCCTCCAGAGTTGGGGAAGACAAGGAACCCGATTTGCTCTCTAGAGTCTTAAGAAAGAAACACACCCCTGCCAATACCATGATAGAGCTTAGTGAGATCTATTTTGAACTTCTGACCGCCACAACTGCAAAATTATACATTTTTGTTTTAGGCTACTTAAAAAACAAGTAGAAACCAAGCTCATTTGAAACAAGGCTAGAAACTATCAAAAGACTGGAGATCAAGTCATCAAAATCCTTGTAGTAGAGCCAAGAAGGAACAGCCAAAAGTCAGGACAGGACTTGTATCTTAGGAAGAGAACTCTGGAATAAAAAGGAACAGAATCTAGAAGGCAACCAACTGGCAGTGTTTGTTGCCGGTGACAAAAATCTGAACTTTCAGATAAAACATTTAGAATTTTGGAAAACTTCATCAGCCACCAAGACCGTAACAGCTTCCCAAAACTTTCTGATGACACTGTTGGTGATATTAACAAATGCAAATTTTAGAAAAATATTATATGATGAAGTGTGTCAACATCTGGAGATGTGCATCATTCTGTAACACAATAGTTTGGTTAGACAGAATTAGGCCTGGGTAAAAGACTGACTCAAGTGCAAACAAGACCTACACATTTTAAAGTAGAAAAAAAATCACTGATATGGTTTCAGATTCCATAATGAAACCAGTAACTGCCTGTGACATATTGTGTAGTATTAAAAATACCAACAATTATCTTCTCCTTTTCCATCTGTGATGCCTTAGTTTCTTTGTATACTTCAACTAAAACAATACATCAAATGATGCACAAACAGTCATAAGAATCAGGAGCCATCTATTAACCTGAACATTTAAGAAATGTGTAAGTACATAAAGCAATGTCACCTATGACATCTTTTGTTTTAGGGAGTACTTATTTTTCATTAAAATGTTATGTTAAAATGGCTTATTGCTATTTTTAGATGGATTAATATATAAATATTTCAAATTGTTCTACATGTTAATTTATATGATACTAGTACAAATAATGCACATAAAAAGCTCCTTGAAGTCCCCAGTAGTCTTTCAGAATACAAGGGGGTTCTGAGACTTTAAGGGGCACCAAAGGAAATGAACATAAACACTAACATAAGCTCAGAATGGGGAGAGCTGCCCCCCTGCACTTCTTCAGAGATGACCAAACAGCCTGACAGTGAGCCCTGCACTGCTCCCACTTTCCCATCATGCTGTAAAGGCAGGTAACGCTCCACTTACAAGCCCCAAAGGCACGCAGTACATTAATCCAGGCTGTACTTAGCAGCATTAATGGGATTGGCATGCATAGCAAATATTCGTTAGTACTGCTTTTCTATAACCCAAGAATGTTCCAATTGATGTATTTTTTGCAGATTAGAAAATTCACTTGTTAAAAACAGAGTAATTGAAACGCTACACCTCATACCTAAAGAATTTTATTTCATTTTTTCATAAATACAGCAAGCAGCATTCCAGCACCACCCTTGATGGGCTTCCAGGAGCACACAGGCCTGGAAATGTGTGACTGTAACAGCACGTGGCTCTGTATCATAGGGGATATCTGGTGCAGATGTGAGATACATAAAATAACCCAAAACATCAGCACACATATTTCCACTGAACAATCCGTAATTCAACAGGAATCAGATCTTTACATTAAGTACCTTGATAGGAACCACTACCAATGTTTTCCAGTTTATTTTATTAAATATAATAATGCCCAACTTTTTGACAACTTAAAATAACTGCTCTGCCTGTGAATTTTCATTGTTCTTCATTCTTCAAAAGTCTTCAGTGTCAGAATCAGTTCCAGAAACTGAGGATACCTGTCTTCACAGTTTACATCCTATTATTGGGAGTACCTCTTAGAAAAAGAATGAATGAAATACTAACTAGAGGTAACACTTCTGAACTTCTAAAGCAATAATTAGAAGTAAATAATTAAAAATAAAATGAGCCCTAACTACACAAGCAAGCGCTCCGTCCCACAAGAGGGTCGGCTCTGGTGGTTCTCAGCAGAACTGAGGACAAGAAGGGGATTTTCAAGTCTACTGACTTCAACCAAGGCCTCTGGCTCAGCACTCCTTTGGGACGGCCGAGGCAGCTTCCCACAGGATAAGCGGTGTCAGAATCCTGGAAGGACAGCATCTGTCGTCTGAAAAAGCAAACCATAATTTTTTCTTTGGTAGGAACAGCTTGGATGTTTTAGATGAGATTTGTGTATATGATAGGGAGCATGGGCTAAGAGGCTGAAAAGCACTGTAAAGGAGCTAACAGAAATAATTTTCCTATTCAGGAAGAAAGAAGGACACTAGGATTAAGACCTGAAGTGCAAGAGTGCTCAGTGTCCCCAGAACCAAAAAGGCAGGTCTCTGGGCACCACCAAAGGATCGTAAACTGTCCTCAGATACTCTGAAGCTTTCTTTTCTTTCTGTGATGATCCTGCCATGAGGGCCCGCGAGAGCTGCTGCCAGCTGGCACCCACGACACCCTGAACTGCAGATTCCGAATTGGTCTTCTGGACCACAGACACTTAGAGTGAGCTCCCTTTAGCTTTCCAGTCTTGAAACTGCATTTTGGATTTACCCAGAAATGACCAGACCCTTAAACACTGAAATAAAACACTCGAGAAGGGCAGAGTTGGACGGTGCCAGAAACGAAAATACTTTTCTATATCATGCTCCCCTACATTTCCATCTGACCCACACTTTACTTTCATAGCTCTATGACAATACATATTCTCACTTACTTCCTTTTTACCGAGGACTGTGGGTTTTACAGCTGTCACTCAATGGCTCCTCAAGCAAATTAACAGAACTGCTCCCAGTGTCCACTTGAGAATGTGAACATGTCACCTCTTCTCCCAATTTCCAGTGTCCACCCTGATTACCCCTTCCCTTGAGATCCACCATTTCTATCCACTCCCTAAGGCAGCATAATACTTAATCATATAAGCTATTTTAAAGACCACACAATCTACAGAGACATTTGTTGTTCTGCGATGCTTATTAGGGGGGAAAATTACAAACTTTAAAGGAAATGTGGTCAAGGAAGTAACAGCAAGATGTTTATCCCACCCTCAAACCTTCAATAATTAAAATTACTCCAGTCCATTCAGCATCAAGGAAGAGACCACTGGGCTCACAATTTGATGATTCATCCCCTTCTTATAAGGTGAAAAACTACAGGAAGGGCTACAAAATCCTT